TAAAGGCCTCAAGATCCCAACTTCTTAGTTTTTGGAAAACTAAAAAAAAAAAAAAATTTAGAACACGACAAGTATCTTTGTTTTACTTTTGGTTGTGATTTTTTTTAAAACAATTGTTAATCGCATCATGTTTATGTGGCAGGAAAACATAATTATGGTCGTGGTCATTCGTGATTTATTGAATCACTGTGAAATCACAAAGGGTAAAGATAACAAGGCAGTTATTGTAAGTAATATCATGCAAGGGATGTTTTTGTATTGATTTGCTCGATGTTATACCATTGTTGAATAGTGTACCATTGCTTCTGTTGGCAGGTATGTTTTTCGACAGTATCCTCGGATTTTAAGAGCTCACTGGAGGTTTCTAAAAGCTGTGTGTATGCCCTATCTTTTTCTTTGTGTTATTTATCTTTGTCTCTCTGTTTGTCTTTAATTGTGTGTGAGTGTTTTTTTTGTCTATCTATGTTTTGATTTGTTTGTGTTTGTGGCCGTTTGTTTGTGTCTTTATCTTTGTGGTTGTATCTCCCGCACTCCCTCTATATGAGTGTGACCTTGTTGGTTTGTGTATGTGTGTTCATGTTTATGTTTATGGGCATTGTGCCTGTGTGCTCTGCATTTGTGTGCCCTGTTTCTGTACTATGTGCTCCGTGTCTTTGTTTGTCTTTGAGTCCATGTGTGTGCATGCTGTGTTTTCTCTTAGTTTGTATGTGCGTGCATCTGTAGTTTTTATGTTTACAGGCGGCAGCCCTTCAGTTTCTTGAGGCATGTTCACATGGTTCAAGTGAGGAACCAGGAAGTATCTGTAATATGGCAAAACTGAATCCTGACTTACTTCTAAGTTACTTGTGAGGCATCTCTAACAAAATTTCCCCCGTGTTTAGGCATTCATACAGAATTTGGCACTGTTCTTCACTTTATTTTACAAGGCAGGTTTATTTTCTCTCCTTTCTATCTGTGATTGTATGTTGCAAGTATAAATTCGTGAAATGTAATGAGATCAGGTGAAATAATGTGTCCTATTTTTGGGAATTATTTATGCCTTGTGTATGTGTACCAGATCATGCGTGTGGCATGTTTGAGAATGGACCCACCTTTCTACATACTGATTTGCGATGTCAATTAGTTTTTTTTCACATCTGTGTAGCACCTCTTCCTCTAATTCTTGCTCATAGTTTTTCAGTTTGCTTGATTTGTGTTCAAGTCTGTTAACATTTATAGTGGGGTGGTTATACCCTTCTGTTTTTGCAGGTTCACATTCGAATTCTAGAATCCACTCAAGAGAATAAAGCTGCTTTGCTTTTTGGGTCTTGAATATCTTGTCAACATCTCATATGTTGGTGATACCGAGGATTTTAAGGTATGATGATGTTGACATTCATGTCTTCTGGTTGTCTATTTCTTATGTCATGATTATGGTTTATGATTGCTGAAACTTGTGCTTTCATTCAGAAGGGAATGGGAATATAGTCCGTGAAACATACTTTTGGTCGTGGTCATTCGTGATTTATTTAATCACTGTGAAATCACAAAGGGTAAAGATAACAAGGTAGTTATTGTAAGTAATATCATGCAAGGGATGGTTTTGTATTGATTTGCTCGATGTTATACCTTTGTTGAATAGTGTACCAGTGCTTATGTTGGCAGGTATGTTTTTGACAGTATCCTCGGATTTTATGAGCTCACTGGAGGTTTCTAAAAATTGTGTGTATGCCCTATCTTTTTCTTTGTGTGATTTATCTTTATCTCTCTGATTGTCTTTAATTGTGTATGAGTGTTTTTTTTGTCTTTCTAAGTTTTGATGTGTTTGTATTTGTGGCCGTTTGTTTGTGTCTTTATCTTTGTGTTTGTATCTTCCGCACTCCCTCTGTATGATTGTGACCTTGTTGGTTTGTGTCTGTGTGTTCTTGTTTATGTTTATGGGCACTATGCCTGTGCTCTGTGTGCTCTGCGTTTGTGTGCTCTATGTCTGTGTGCTCTGTGTCTGTACTCTATGCTCCGTGTCTTTGCTTGCCTTTGAGTCCATGTGTGTGCTTGTTGTGTTTTCTTTTTGTTTCTATGTGCGTGTATCTGTATTTTTTATGTTCATAGGTGGCAACCCTTCAGTTTGGGAACACTATGAATATTCTTGAGGCATATTCAGATGGTTCAAGTGAGGAACCAGTAAGTATCTATAATATGGCAAAACTGAATCCCGACTTACTTCTAAGTTACTTGGGAGGCATCTCTAACAAAATTTCCCTGTGTTTAGGCATTCATACAAAATTTGGCAATGTTCTTCACCTTATTTTACAAGGCAGGTTTATTTTCTCACCTTTATGTCTATCTGTGATTGTATGTTGCAAGTATATATTCATGAAATGTAATGAGACTCTTATTTCTATCACCATTATAGGTTGTGTGATGAGACTAACAATGACAGTGACAGTAATAATTATTATGTTAATAGTGATAACAACGGTAATAATAATTGTGATTTTATTTTTTTATTTTAGGTAAAACTTTTTTTATTCTAATAATTGATATTAATTATACTTTTTTGCAAACAAAAATATTATTCTCATAATATCTTAATAACTTTCATTTGATTAGAGATTTTCTTAATACTCATTATTAAATTGTAAGTTTCATTCATCTCAATTATATATACAAAGTTATATATTAATCCAAAATAATTTAATATTTATATAAATTAAAATTGGTATAATATGTATTTTCTTATAATATATTATAATATAATTAACTTGATTATATTTTTTATTGTTGCTTAATTTTGAGAAAAATTGATATAAATATCTAAGATAAAATAAAGTTATAAGTTAATATTTAGATCCACAACATTTATCTTTTAAATAAAGCCATTAATGATGCAGTAGTTGGAACAAAAAAAATGAGACCGGTATACTTTGATCTCTCTCTGATATGTATCTTTTTTTTTTATCACATTACTTCCTATTTTAAGTCCTATTCAATTCATTTACCTTTGTTAGTCTGTAGCGGGTTTTGAAGTCAGGGCCCAGCTGCCAAAAGTAATGAAAACTGAAAACATAGGGCAAACATAAAGTTCTCTCAGGAACGCGGAAAAAACCGCAGTGAATGACTAAAAAGTATAAAAATAGAAAGAAGTGGAAGCTAAATAATTCAATAATGAAGAACAAAATAAGAAGACGACGAAGCAATAAGAGGCAGTGTTTACGGACATAGTGATAGTGCATGTTAAAGTATAAATAGTTTACTAATTGCCCTCATATAAATTCATTTCTGACAAAAATTTGCATTGGATTCTGTTTTCATTTTTTGTTTCGTCTCCTTGTTTGTTGTCCAAAATACTCTGCCTATACATATGCCGTATTCTTCATTCCTGCCCTTCAATTATGTATTATTTGAACCTTCACCACATTATGGGGCCTGATTCCTCCTTCACTTCCCTTTCTGCTATAATAATGGAGTAATTAATAACAGAACAAAGAATACTCTTTCTTTAATCAGTAGTAAAATCTTATTTTTGTTATTTTTGGTTCGACCTATCACGAGTTAAGAATTGTTTTGATCAAGCAATTGTTATTATAACTTCCTCAAATTATATTTTATAGTAAAGGTAGAGTTGGATATATCAGTCATCACGATCCATCTAACTTGTGGGTAATAGCTTTTGTGGATTGTGTTAGATTGTATGCTAATGAATTGTTGTTTGGTTGCATTATTGGTGTATGTTTCGGATTGAAAATCTAAACTGAGATGATGTATGTGTAGGGTTTGGGTTTTGGTTGTGTTTGAAAGAAGAAGTAGTGATTCGTAATTCCAATGGATGCATGTTGTTTTTTATCGTAAAATCATGTTGTGCATGTTGTATAGTTGTTGTTTTGTGTAATACATGTTGGAAAGTTGCTAAATTTCAGGTGGTATGACCCAAGATCTGCATAAGTGTAAAATTAATGTCACGTCGAACGCGCCTTCAAGGTGTCGGGGGTGGTTTCAATCAATGGTTTTTGTCTCATCCATGCATGGATGTAAGATTTGTCACGTAAGGTGTGAGGAGAGAGAATCGTCTTAAGTTGAAATCATGTCAAGCGTAATTTGAATGGTTCTAGACATAAGGAGAGTCTCGTGTTGAAATAATGTCAACGTAATTTCAATGACGTTGAACATGAGAAGAGAGAACCATCTCGAGTTGAAATCACATCGAGTACCAATGGAGTGGCACCGAAAGTGAGTTGTGTGGAGACCCCTACATGTTGGGGTTGGGCATGGGCTCTTGCCACACTAGGTGTGAAAAGGTGGGAGACTCTTTGTCTTAACCACACCGAGTGCAGGTAGTTTGGTGCCGAATGTGGGTGATTTGCATCAATGGTGTTGGGCATCCTTTGAGTGGCAATGGATGCGAGTTGTATGATGAAAATTTTGTGTTTATATATAGATGTTTTATTGTTGAATGGTGATCAACGAGTTATAAGTATGATGATGTATGATAAGGAATCTATATGTTGTAAGTTGATAAGTTGAATGTTGGTAATTATGTTGTAAAGTTGCAAGTTGATAAATGATAAAGTTGTATAAGGTATATGTTGCTAAAGTTGTTCATGTTGTTAAAGTTATAATCATGTAATTTAGATACATGTCTTAGCTACAACACATAAAAACTAAAGAAGAGTAAAAAATGTGTTTAAAAATTATAATATCTCATTGTGTGAATATATGTTATGGTGCTTCGAGAACTCGATTGAAACGTTTTAGTAAATAAGTTAGCTTCTAAATGAGTGATTATTTTAAGTTGTCTCTTCTAGGTTTTATGTGGTAGTCGTATATATGTGGGCAAGGTCGAGACATATATGTATAAAACGACCAATCGAGTAAAGTATAAGGTCAAATACTTAGTTCCTAATTGAGTATTGGAGGGACATAATACTTAGAGAGTAGTTGGTGAGTTAATTTTATAGGTGGCTTAGTGATACTAATGTTGTGTAAGCTCATACTCAAATTGTTTTATCCTAATAATAGTACTAAACGTCTTAATTTAAGTTGTAAACTTGAGAAATAAAATTAAGTTGTTACTATGATAATGGTTTGGTAGGGTCTAGCCACTAAAATTATTTATTTATGTTGTAGGAGATTTCCTTTGTTGATATGCTTGATAACGTATTAGTTGTACATTGTTGTATGATGACCATGTTGTTGAGATGAAGTTGTTTAAGTTGTTTTTATGTTGTTAGATGTATGAATAGCATTGGTAACAAGTTGAAGTTAATGTTGTTGTTTATCTTGATTAACTTGATATTGATGTTGTGCTTGTATGTTGTTTTATTTCATAAGTTTATCCTGTGCTTCCATTGTGGTTGTGACCGAGATGATCATACTTTGCATGAAAGTAGATCAAGATTAGCCGGTAGCTTGTATAACAATGGAGGGTTATGCATGAGATGATCGACTTTCTTTTAGTTGTTACTGCTTCAAGGCAATGATATTATATAGATGTTTGACTGATAAAAATATATGGTCTATTTTATATACAACACTTATTCTTTGATGTATATAGTTTATATGTATAGGAAGTAGTTTGCTTTTCTTTCCCTTGCATATAATTGTGTGTATGAGATTACATGTTGATTAATAGCTCTAGGATATATGTATATGTTGTATGTTTTTCACTACATAGAAACTAAATTATAATTAATATAGTGACACGTGGAGTTGTTACGATTTTAATTATAATTTCAATGAACTTAATATTGAATAAATTAAAAAAAACTTATTAACAAATATAAAAATATTAATTAAGGAGTATTTAATATACGTATTGAATTTTTGCTAAAATTATTTAATGTGTCGAAACAAAAATTTCGTTATGTTAAACATTTAGATTAGTTTAAAATTATTATTAAATACTTATGTTCTTTCATTATATAATAAATATATATTTCTACATTTTAAAAATACAGTATTATAAATTAAGCATTAGCATTTAAATTATTTTAATAAAAAGAGTGAATACCGAAAACGGTTAATATGATATGGCAATGGTTTGAAAAATATTTTTATTAAATTAAAACTATTTACTGATTATTTTTAAATACTCAAAATTGTTTTTTTTAATAATATATTACATGTATCCTCTATACTTTGAAATTAAATTTCATACTGTTTTCACCCAAGATAGCGTTGATACTGACTTTCTTGAGCAAGATCCTAAACTCTTATCTGCTTGATTAGTGATTTATGTTACATGGTATTGTCTTGTTAAATTTTGTGCTTGTGTGATTCTTTAATCATATCAATTTGAAAAAATCTCAATTATTTTGATTGTGCCAACAAAAATAATTGATTATCTTTTTTTTTTATCTCATACTTTTATGTCAAATGTTCTTTTTTGATCATGAATAATCAATATCCTTGCTCTATTATAATTTTAAATAATAGGTGTCTTCGTGAAACATGTGTAATATGTGAGAATAAGTCATGTATTTAAGTGAGTTATGTAACAACCTGTCGTGGTCCCTATACTTAGGGAAATCACACTAATAAACTAATGAACTAAAATAAAATATTAAGTTGAATAGCAGAATATACATGTAAATGAAATTATAAATATTTATGTACAAAATATAGAACTATGCATATACAATTATCCAAAATAATATTATCCTAGTGTCGGTCAAGTACAAACAAACAGTTACCCAAGATGGTAACTATAACAGTGGAACAAAACTCTCAATCTCGCAGCAGACACCATAGCCAGCTCCAACCTAACCCTGACCTGCTCCCATACAATATGATCATCACAGTCCATCCACATGAAAACAGAAGGGTAAGCAACCATACAAGTATAAAATAAAAATCTATACTACACATTCATCAAATCAAGGCCAAACGGGACTCTCATCTCAAACAATCATCAATTCATAAAATATGAAGTCAACACCACACATTTCATCATACTAGAAATCATGCAATAATAGCAACTCATGACAGATATCAATGCATATCAATCATCTAATGCATCATCACGCATACACCTAGGAGATCTCCCTAACAACAAAGTGGTATAAGTGACATCCCAATCCTATCAAAACCATCTCAACGTTTTCACGCCCAATGCGCCCGCTCGGCCACAACTAATCAGGATATAAATCCTCACTCAGGTTTACTTGGATGATGTCACTTACACACTTGGAAGTCCGGTTCTACCGTCAGGTATAGCACAGTTGGGTACAAACTTACCACGACCTTGGTATAAATTACCAAGTCACTTGTGGAGTTTGCCCACTAACTATCCGCAAGGAACCACGCACCTTCCTCAGTGCTTGGTTAAGGGAATAACCCTTGACTTCATACCATGCTCCAACACTAGCTAAGGACTTACAGGAGACTCACCCACCAGTGCCCTATCCAAGCACCACTCTCACCCAAAACTAGTGGCCTATCTAAGCACCACTTTCATTTATATCAATGGCCTATCCAAGCACCACTCTCAAGAAATTTTATGTGAGCTCTTCCAGTTCGAAAACATTTTCCTCTCCTCAAGTCCTAGGCTAGGCACATGCCATAAGGCATCACATGCAATAATGCATCATACATCATACATGGTCAATCCACCATCATGATCAATATCATCCGCATATGAACATATACACATGTCATATCATATTCAATCATTCATATATATCATTACCAAGCATACATATGAATCATACATCACTATACATCATATATCATACATACTTGATCCAACTTCACTCTTAAACATGCAAAAGCATCATTTTCAATCAGCATCACTAAGCATACTCACGCCTGACGCAGTCAGTTCGCGCCCAACCTAAATCCAACCGAGAGCTTTAAGCTCTTCCACGCCCGATGCATTCAACTCGTGCCCAGCGTCATTCAAACAGAAACTCACAAGAGTCTCCACGCTCGACACATCAACCCTACGCCCGGCGTTGTCTAGATAGAGACCTCTAGAGGTCTCCGTGCCTGACACACTTACCTTGCGCTCGATGCCATATCAGAAAGTGCCATGAAACATCACCATCTAATATCGCGCCCGATGTGGCTCTACTCACGCCCAGCATGATTCCCCCAGAGGCTCCCATCTCCAATCGCGCCCGGCGCGACTAACCTCATTAGAAAATGGTTGCTTCTGATGAATGCTTGTCCGATGCCAAGAACATGCGCCTGACGCAAATTCAAACATCCACCCCCAAAACTTTGAAAATTTTCTCCATCACCTGAAAATTAGAAGATCAAGCCACATACAATCCATACAACGTAATACATAGACTCCATACAATCTGAACTCACTCTCAGATTCAACATGCACGCACCCAATTCATCAAAATCATCAAAACTCCAATTTCCTAAAAACCCCAAAAATGAGGAATCTTTCAATCCAACAATTTATTCTCAAAATTCAAGTGCCAATTGAGTTCCCAAACTCACATGCAACCAATCAATCTACATTCTAGCTTCCCTCACCTGAAGATTGGCTCAGAATAGCCAAGAACTGAGAAGAAGAATTTTCCTTCGAAGCTCGACTCTCGGACTTCAATCCTCCAAAAACAAGCTTCCTAGCCTGAACTCCAAGAAAAGACAGAAAGAGTTAGTGATTTAGAGAAAAAAAAATCAAACTGTAACACCCCGAATTTTCTACTAATAGACTATTAATTATTATTTATTTTTATATTTATGAAGATTATTATTTAAGTAAAAGGGGCTTTATAGAATATTTTAAAGGTTTGTAATAATTTAAATTATTTATAAAAAATTACTTCTGGTTTTTTTTAGGTTCAGAACGGCCTGTTCCGAAAAGCGGAACGGGCTGTTCCCAAAAAGCGGAACGGGCGTTTCAAAAAGTGGAACGAGCTGTTCCAGGGTAATAAAATAGCCTAAAATTGTTAGTTGGAAACGGGCCGTTTCAATTATGGTCAAGGTGGGTTAAAATCATCCTCAGAACGGGGCGTTTTGATTTAAGAACGGACCGTTTTGGTGTTGAGAACGGGCCGTTCCACTTATGATTAATCTGTGTAAAAAGGAATCGCAGAACGGGTCGTTCTGCTCTTTGAAAACGGGTCGTTCCGATTTTAGAACGGGTCGTTCCAGTGGAAAAATTTGCCTATATTCGAAGGATCCGGAACGGGCCGTTCCGAATTCAGAACAGGTCGTTTCGGGGACCCCAGAATGCCTATAAATAGGGGGCAGGGGGTGAAAAAATTATACTGAGTGAGAAGGTAAAATCTTAGAGAGAGAAAGAGGAAGAGAGAGAGAGAGAAAGGAAGAGAGAGACAAAGAGAAAGAAAGAGAGGGAAAGAAAGAGGAAATCCAGAGGAGGAGGTCCTGCCCAAGTTTCAACTCCTGCTTATCCAGGTAAGGGGGGAGTGAGAAACCTCGCTCGGGGGTGTGGGGATAATTGTTGGATAGTTTGATTGTCGAATTGGCCCTCAATCCCTTGCTTGTTGTTCTGTTTTTCTGTTTGCTCTACTTTGTTCCTTGTTACTTTGTTCCTTGTTACTTTGTTCCTTGTTACTTTGTTCCTTGTTACTTTGTTCCTTGTTACTTTGTTCCTTGAAAGTAATAAATGAATATGGAATTAATGTTAAAAATAAATAAGTTTTAATATGAAAAAAAATGTTCTCAGTGAATTCTTATGCGAACCTTATGAGGAGTATTTATGACATGACCATGTGAAATATGGACAAATGACATGAGACCTAAGAATGGACTATTGAGACAAGTTATGATTATAAGAATATGAAAAATAATGACATGATATACTTGATGAAATTCTGTAATAAGTTAAATGTTGAGTCCATGAAATAATGAAGGTATGACATGCATCATATGCATATATTATTCCAGGTGTGCCGCTGAGGCCGCATACCAACGATGCTAACTAGGTGTACCTTAGGGTCACCGACAGTTGATGATATGCTAACCAGGTGTACCTTAGGGTCACCGACAGTTGTAACCAGGTGTGCCTTAGGGTCACCAGTGATGAATTGTGAAACTTCCTTATGGCGCCACATGCATGCATTTATGAGTCGAGTCCATGACATCATTGCATGATAAATGAATGTATTTGTAATATTGATGATGTATGTGTATTGTTTACATGTGACTTATATTTGTTGTGTGTGTGTGGGTGCTATCTAACCTTTATTCTTCACCTGAAACTGAGTGAGATGTTTCTCACTCCCTTGTTGCTTTTGTATGTGTTTAAATTATGTTGCAGGCGATCAACATCATGAGGATGTGGTTGATGAGGCTTAAGGCTTCAGTTGGGCATGCTCTGATAGGATGTGACATCGGGGCATAGCTAGCTTAGTTTAATATGTTATTGTTTTAATAACTTTAGTTTTTCTTCTTTTGTAATTTCTAACGAAGAGATAACGTAGATAAAGTTTATAATCCAAGGAAAATGTATGTTAAGAATTGTAATTTGAACGTTTTTGATAAAAGACCCAAATGTGCATCTTTGTTATACTTTTATTACATGATTTGAAAGTTATAAATTAATTCCTAACTAGGAGGCACTGCCACCTTTGCTAGAATTAATCTATATTTTTTTTTATATGATCTCTTGAATTTTGATACTTACATGATGATTTTCTATGATTTATGAGTTATGAATGTGAATCTTCTACCTTATGATTCGAGACATTTGTTTTATCATGAAAGATGTTATCAAACTATGGAAAATTTTATTCTCTCAAAAAAGAAAAAAAATTATTGTTTACATTTATTGTGTATTAATGTTGGGGTAGAGGGTGTCACACAAACAGAGAAATTTGGGTGAGAATGTGACACCCTCTACCCCAACATTAATACATAATAAATGTAAACAATAATTTTTTTTAGTAAATAAAATCTTTCATGAATAAAACCATTGTCTCAAATATCATAAGGTAGAAGATTCACATTCGTAGCTCATAAATCATAAAAAAAATCAACATGTAAGTATCAAAACTCAATAAATCATATAAAGGAAAATTTAGATTAATCCCAGCAAAGGTGGCAATGCCTCCTAGTTAGGAATTAATTTATAGCTTCCAAATTATATAATAAAAACAATATGACAAAGATGCACATTTTGATCTTTTATCAAAACATCCTATCAAAGCATGCCCAACTGAAGCCTTATGCCTCATCACCAAGATCCTCATGATGATGATCACCTGCAACATAATTTAAACATATATAAGAACAACAGGGAGTGAGAAACATCTCACTCAGTTTTAGATGCAGAAATAAAGGTTAGATAGCACACACACAATAAATATAAGTCACATGTAAACAATACACATACATAATCAATATCAAATGTACACTCATTTATCATGCTATGATGTCATGGACTCGACTCATAAATGGATGCATGTGGCGCCATACGGAAGTTTCACATTTCATCACTGGTGACCCTAAGGTACACCTTGTTAGCATGTTACGTCGTGGGAGTCCCTAAGGTACACCTTGTTAGCATGTTACGTCGTGGGTGACCCTAAGGTACACCTGGTTACATCACTGGTGACCCTAAGGTACACTTTGTTAGCATGTTACATCACTGGTGACCCTAAGGCACACCTTGTTAGCTTGTTATGTCACTGGTATGCGGCCTCAGCGGCACACTTGGAGTCATATATGTATATGATGCATGTCACACATTCATTATTTCGGACTCAACATTTGATTTATTACAAAATTTTATTTAGTACATCATGTCATCATTTTTCATATTTTTATAATCATAACTTGTCTCAATAGTCAATTCTTATGTCTCATGTCATTGGTGCATATTTCACATAGTCATGTCATAATTATTCCTCATAAGGTCCGCACAGGAATCCACAGAGAGCATTCTTATTCATATTAAAACTTATTTATTTTTAACATTAATTACATATTCATTTATTACTTTTAACAAGGAACAAAGTAGAGCAAACAGAAAATAAAACAAAACACATTAATATTTTGCATGTTCCTAGAAACATGCAACAGGCAAGGGATTGGGGGCCAATCCGACAATCAGACTATCCAACAATTATTCTCACATCCCTGAGCGAGGTTTCTCACTCCCCCTTACCTCGATAAGCAGAAGCTGAAACTTGAGCAGGACCTTGTTACTTTCTTCCTTTAGATTCCCTCTTTTTCTTTCTCTCTCTCTCTTTCTTTCTCTCTCTCTCTCTCTCTTTCTTTCTCTTTCTAAGTTTTTTACCTTCTCAGTATAATTTTTTTCCTCACCCCATGCCTCCTATTTATAGGCATTCAGGGGTACCCGGAACGACCCATTCTGATTCCGGAACGACCCATTCCAGAGTCATGCGTTATAGGCAAAATGTACCACTATAACGGCCCGTTCTAAAATCAGAACGACCCATTTTCAAAAATCAGAACGACCCGTTTTCAAAAATCAGAACGGCCCGTTCTAAAATCATAACGGACCGTTTGGGGTTCATGTTAACACTTATTGACCATAGTTGGAACGGCCCGTTTCTAACTAAGGTTTTTAGGCAAATTTAGAATCTTGGAACGGTCCGTTCCACTTTTGGAACGACCCGTTCTGCTACTTCAAAAATAACTTACTTTCATCTTTTGGAACGACCCGTTCCACTTTTTGGAACAGCCCGTTCTGGACCTTAAAAAAAACAAAATTTTATAAATTTTCATAAATAATTTAAATTATTACAAACCTTTACAATATCTATAAAACCCCTTTAATTAACTAAAATAACTATAAAAAAATATTCTTCATAAATATAAAAATAAATAATAATAATATTGTATTACTAGAAAATTCGGGGTGTTACAGAGAAAGTAGCTCACGGACCTAGAGTCCTTCTCTCTAAAATCTCTCTCTAGATTTTCTTTGAGAATGAGCTTATGAGGTTCCCTTCTCAGAGAAAAGCTTAAATACTCTCCTCTCTAGTATCCACAAAACGTTGAACCAACTTACTATGCTATAAGTTACATATTTTATATGTGCACTTAAATTTTTTATTAATTAATATATTTTTAATATCATGATTTTAACTTAAGGTTATATATACTATTTTTTTAGAGCAAGTATTATTTATTTGTTAAGTATTATTAAAAAAATGAATTTAATTAAAATTAACTTATAACTTAAAAAATACACTATTATCCAATCATAAATTTTCATAGAAGATAAATTTTTTAACTTTAATTTTAAAAGTTGTAGCTAGAATGATTTTCGATTGGTTTAGATTTATCTATCTATCTATTTATCTATTTCTCTCTCTATATATATATAAAACTCAAATGGTTTAAAACTCTTAAAATATATTTTTAATAAAAAAATGAATATACAATAAGGGAAACTATTGCGACGAAGATATTTATAATTTGAAGAAAATGTTAATAATACCCTTTATTATTTGCAATTTTTTTTAATCACTAGTATTTTAATTAGTGTAATGCAAAGTTAATTATTTATTATATATAATTAAAATTAAATACAAATTACGTATGTAAATAATATTTAAATATATAAATTAGATTAAATTTTTTAATAAATATATGTTTTTAAATATATAAATTATATTACAAATTTATGATAAATAATTTCCATTTTAATACAAAATTAATTTTAATCATTGATAATTATTTTTTAAATATTAAAATTGAAACAAAAATAAAATTAGATATAAAGTTATAACTTTTAAAAATTTTGTTGTTGTAAACAAATTTGTAAATGTTTTATATATACGAGTTGAATATAAAAATATATTTATTTCATTTTTTTATTTAATCAACTGTTGCTACTTCAAAAAATTTATTAAAATTAAAAGAGTTGAGACACTCTATGCCTCTAATTGTTATACATAGACAAAATATTAAAAGATCGCATGTAATTATTTAAAAAATATATAATTTTTTTTATATTTAAGGGGTATAATGTCTATTAAAAAGTGGAGATAAAAAATGATTATATATCCTAATATTTCCTTTATAATATACTAGTAGGGTTGTGTCTCTAAATTTTAAAATAAAATGGTATAATGATAAAAAAATGTAGAGATCAAAGTAGTTACTGAAAAGATATTTCCTTTATATATTAAAATAGAGGTATTATGATGAATCTATTAATTTTAAGTTTTTAAATTTGATAAAAAAATATTATTTTTAAAAAAAATTAAAATAAAAAAGCTATAATGGTAAAAAAAAATGTAAAGAGCAATGTAGTTAGTGAAAATGTATTCTTTTTTATATATTAATATAATATAAATAACTTGATAGTATTCTAAATTTTCAATTATAAAAAGATTTAGCGGGATTGAATGATGCTCTCTTGACGAACCCTCTAAATTTGTTCGGGAACGAAAACAAACAGCAGAAGGTGATCTTACTTAATTTTATTTTACTTTTGATTTTTCTTTTTCCCCCATTTCGGAAAGCAAAAGGGGATCTTTCTTTCTTAATTTTAATTTATAGCAAGAAATGCGATGGAGGGCAACAACACATGTTCGGACCAAGTGATTGCAGAAATGACTGAAATGGGTTTTGAGTATTCAAATATTGTCGAAGCCATAGAAGAAGCGGGTCTGTTCCTAGTGTTGTGGAGCACATCCTCAACAACCCCAAATTGCAAGAACACAACAAGAACCCTCAGAAGACAACCTTTGCGCATGTTCGGCAGTCCAAGATATTTGACCATTTCCTCTCCAATAATGTCCAAGAACACACCGAGGATTTCCCTGATCCCATTCCATTTGTGCTTTGGGAGCCATTTCAAGTTCAAGATTCGGATGTTGCATCAGATTGGGAGCGGAAAGTTAGCAACTTGATGCAAAAGCATTTTGTGTGTCTACTTCTCTGGGTTAACTTTCAATATTTTCTTCATGATTTACGAGTCTAAATGTCCTGCTCTGAAGGTTTGCATGGGCGACTTAGTTTGAAGAAGCCAAAGATATTGACACCATCACTTGAAAATCCTTTGGACAATATTGTGCCAATGACTAATTCTATTCCTTCCCCAGCTGCTTCACAAATGAGTAACATGTCAAATCCTAATAAATTTATTAAGATCATTAGTGGGCGAGACAGGAGTCGGAAAGCTAAAGCACTGAAGGTAAATTTTGATGTGAATTTGGGTGCTCATTGCTTTCAAATTTTCTTTGTGATCTTGCTATTTTTTTTTTGTTTTATTTTTTGCTATTAGATTTCTGCTGGACAGCCTGGTTCTGGAAGTCCTTGGTCACTATTTGAAGATCAGGTCAAATTTGAGTTAACTTTGTCTTTCAAGAATAATAATTGTTTTTAATTTTAGAATATGATTTGAACTTTAATGATAAACAATTCAAGATATAAAATTTATGTCGTTGAATTTTTTTACATAAAATTTATGAAACAGAATCAGTATTCAAACAAAAATAAATCATAAACATGATATAAATTACATGAAAAATAAGTCTCACAAAAAGTTGCTTTTCACACTACTTCCAAAATACTTGTGTTTCCTTTAGTTCAAATATTAACCGTATAGTTTTTGTTTATGTGAAGTATATTTCCTTTTTTAAATTAGTCAAAAATATTTTTAACATTATGTCTCATAATTACAATTTTTTACTTGCTCAAAATAATAATATTAAATCAAACTTTAAAACTAAAATAATCAAAATAAATATTTTAAAGAATAAAGGAGTAAAAATATTTTTATGATAAAATATAAAATAACGAAATATCTTAACCTTAGTTTTATTTTTCTTCGCATGTTGACAGTTCTTAACAATCACGTGGTGTATATGCGGTGCCGCCTTCAATTTCGTTGTAGATGACAATTTGACTAAAGTTTTCTACGGCTCTTACCATTCGTGTTGGTGGAGTTTATGTAATGCTGATGATTTTATAATGTTTTAATTTAATTGTGTGATTGTGGTTGTTTAGTTGTTAGCTATTATCAGTAGTGTTATTTAAAAATTCTGGAGTCAAGCGACTCTAAGAATTAAGTTGGTCTCTAGGATAGTAAAAACATAAATAAGTTGAATAAGTTCAAAAAATGTATATCAAGGTTTTTTTATTTAAGAAGTGAGTTCATAATTTCATGTTTTTGAAAATTTTAGAGAGAAGTTAGAGAGAAACTCTTTGGAACTCAAAACCTCCTCTTCTTCTGAAAATCTTCATTGTCTTCCTATAGTTGATCCACTTAACTAGATAGAAAATTTGAGTTTCCGAAATTGGAATCTCAAGTTGGAAGTCGTACAAAGCTACTTTTCTTGTCTCTTCTTTTCAGATTTGGGATCGACAAGAGGTAAGGCAAGTTTTTGTGGATTGTGTTGGATTGTATGCTAATGAATTGTTGTTTGGTTGCATTATTGGTGTATATTTCGGATTGAAAATCTAAACTGAGATGATGTATGTGTAGGGTTTGGGTTTTGGTTGTGTTTGAAAGAAGAAGGAGTGATTCGTAATTCTAATGGATGCATGTTGCTTTTTATCGTAAAATCATGTTGTGCATGTTGTATAGTTGTTGTTTTGTGTAATACATGTTGGAAAGTTGCTAAATTTCAGGTGGGATGACCCAAGATCTACATAAGTGTAAAATTAATGTCACGTTGAACGCGCCTTCAAGGTGTCGGGCGTGGTTTCAATCAATGGTTTTTGTCTCATCCATGCATGGATGTAAGATTTGTGACGTAAGGTGTGAGGAGAGAGAATCGTCTCAAGTTGAAATCATGTCAAGCGTAATTTGAATGGTGCTAGACATAAGGAGAGTCTCGTGTTGAAATAATGTCAGCGTAATTTGAATGACGTTGAACATGAGAAGAGAGAACCATCTCGAGTTGAAATCACGTCGAGTACCAATGGAGTGGCACCGAAAGTGAGTTATGTGGAGACCCCTACATGTTGGGGTCGGACATGGGCTCTTGCCACACTAGGTGTGAAAAGGTGGGAATATATGTTATGGTGCTTCGAGAACTCGATTGAAATGCTTTAGTAAATAAGTTAGCTTCTAAATGAGTGATTATTTTAAGTTGTCTCTTCTAGGTTTTATGTGGTAGTCGTATATATGTGGGCAAGGTCGAGACATATATGTATAAAACGACCAATCGAGTAAAGTATAAGGTCAAATACTTAGTTCCTAATTGAGTATTGGAGGGACATAATACTTAGAGAGTAGTTGGTGAGTTAATTTTATAGGTGGCTTAGTGATACTAATGTTGTGTAAGCTCATGCTCAAATTGTTCTATCCTAATAATAGTACTAAACTTCTTAATTTAAGTTGTAAACTTAAGAAATAAAATTAAGTTGTTATTGTGATAATGGTTTGGTAGGGTCTAGCCACTAAAATTATTTATTTATGTTGTAGGAGATTTCCTTTGTTGATATGCGTGATAATGTATTAGTTGTACATCGTTGTATGATGATCATGTTGTTGAGATGAAGTTGTTTAAGTTATTTTTATGTTGTTAGATGTATGAGTAGCATTGGTAACAAGTTGAAGTTAATGTTGTTGTTTATCTTGATTAACTTGATATTGATGTTGTGCTTGTACGTTGTTTTATTTCATAAGTTTATCCTGTGCTTCCGTTGTGGTTGTGACCGAGATGATCATACTTTGCATAAAAGTAGATCAAGATTAGCCGGTAGCTTGTATAACAATGGAGGATTATGCATGAGATGATGGACTTTCTTTTAGTTGTTATTGCTTCAAGGCAATGATCTTATACATATGCTTGACAGATAAAATATAGGGTCTATTTTATATACAACACTTACTCTTTGATGTATATAGTTTATATGTATAGGAAGTAGTTTGTTTTTCTTCCCCTTACATATAATTGTGTGTATGAGATTACATGTTGATTAATAGCCCTAGGATATATGTATATGTTGTATGTTTTTCACTACATAGAAACTAAACTATAGTTAATATAGTGACCCGTCGAGTTGTTACGATTTTAATTATAATTCCAATGAACTTAATATTGAATAAATTAAAAATTTTATTAACAAATATAAAAATATTAATTAAGGAGTATTTAATATATGTATTGAATTTTGGCTAAAATTATTTAATGTGTCAAAACAAAAATTTCGCTATGTTAAACATTTAGACTAGTTTAAAATTATTATTAAATACTTATGTTCTTTCTTTCATTATATAATAAATATATATTTCTACATTTTAAAAATACTTAGTATTATAAATTAAGCATTAGTATTTAAATTATTTTAATAAAAAGAGCGAATACCGAGAACGGTTAATATGATATGACAATGGTTTGAAAAATATTTTTGATTAAATTAAAACTATTTAATGTTTACTTTTAAATACTCAAAATTGTTTTTTTTAATAATATATCACATGTATCCTCTATACTTTGAAATTGAATTTCATACTGTTTTCACCTGGGATAGCGTTGATACTAACTTTCTTGAGCAAGATCCTAAACTCTTATCTGCTTGATTAGTGATTTATGTTACATGGTATTGTCTTGTTAAATTTTGTGCTTGTGTGATTCTTTAATAATATCAATTTGAAAAAATCTCAATTATTTTGATTGTGCCAACAAAAATAATTGATTATCTTTTTTTTTTTTTATCTCATACTTTTATGTCAAATGTTCTTTTTTGATCGATAAATAATCAATATCCTTGCTCTATTATGATTTTAAATAATAGGTGTCTTCGTGAAACTTGTGTAATATATGAGAATAAGTCATGTATTTAAAATAATCACTAGTATTTTAATTAGTGTAATGCAAAGTTAATTATTTATTATATATAATTAAAATTAAATACTAATTACGTATGTAAATAATATTTAAATATATAAATTATATTAATTTTTTTAATAAATATATATATTTAAATATATAAATTATATTACAAATTTATGATAAATAATTTCTATTTTAATACAAAATTAATTTTAATCATTGATAATTATTTTTTAAATATTAAAATTGAACAAAATAAAATTAGATATAAAGTTATAACTTTTAAAAAATTTGTTGTTGTAAACAAATTTGTAAATTTTTTATATACACGAGTTGATTATAAAAATATATTTATTTCATTTTTTTATTTAATCAACCGTTGCTATTTCAACAAATTTATTAAAATTAAAAGAGTTGAGACACTCTGTGTCTCTAATTGTTATACATAGACAAAATATTAAAAGATCACAAGTAATTATTTAAAAAGGATATAATTTTTTTTAAGGGGTATAATGTCTATTAAAAAGTTGAGATAAAAAACGATTATATATGCTAATATTTCCTTTATAATATACTAGTAGGGTTGTATCTCTATTAAAAATAAAAATAAAAATAAAAATAAAATAATAAAAATATATTGATTTATTTGGTATTATCATTAATCTATTAATTTTAAGTTCTTAAATTTGATAAAAAAATATTATTTTTTTAAATTTTAAAATAAAATGGTATAATGGTAAAAAAAATGTAGAGATCAAGGTGGTTACTAAAATGATATCTCTTTTATATATTAAAATAGAGGTATTATGATGAATCTATTAATTTTAAGTTCTTATATTTGATAAAAAATATTATTTTTTAAAAAATTTTAAAATAAAAAACTATAATGATAAAAAAAATGTGGAAAGCAATATAATTACTAAAAAAGTATTTATTTTATATATTAGTATAGATATAAATAAATTGATAGTGTTCTAAATTTTCAATTATAAAAAGATTTGGCGGGATTGAGTGATGCTCTCTTGGCGAACCCTCTAAATTGTTCGGGAACGAAAACAAACAGCAGAAGGAGATCTTACTTTCTTAATTTTATTTTGCTTTTGATTTTTCTTTTTCCCCCATTTCGAAAAGCAAAAGGGGATCTTTCTTTCTTAATTTTAATTTATAGCAAAAAATGCGATGGAGGGCAACAACACATGTTCGGACCAAGTGATTGCAGAAATGATTGAAATGGGTTTTGAGTATTCAAATATTGTCGAAGCCATAGAAGAAGCGGGTCTCTCTGTTCCTAGTGTTGTGGAGCACATCCTCAACACCCCCAAATTGCAAGCACACAACAAGAACCCTCAGAAGACAACCTTTGCGCATGTTCGGCAGTCCAAGATATTTGACCATTTCCACTCCAATGATGTCCAAGAACACACCGAGGATTTCCCTGATCCCATTCCATTTGTGCTTTCGGAGCCATTTCAAGTTCAAGATTCGGATGTTGCATCAGATTGGGAGCGGAAAGTTAGCAACTTGATGCAAAAGCATTTTGTGTGTCTATTTCTCTGGGTTAAGTTTCAATATGATAAATTGATTAAAAAAATGCTTTGTTTTGTGGAGTTCCTAGATCTTTAGTTTAAGAGCTCAAGTTTTATGGAAAGATTACTTTCTTTAGTCTGTAAGAGGAAAGAAAATGAAGTGACATTGTTATTTTTTTCAGGTATGTAATGATTCCTTGGATTGCTCATATGAAGATGATATATATTCTGGCTCCAAACATAGAGGACTAAGAGAGAGGCCCAACCTTAAGGTGTTAGTTGGAAAAATAAGGCAGCAGGTGAACCTAGTTATAATTGTCATTTCTTATTGTTTGTTACGTTGGAGAGGTCTTGTTGCCAATCTATGTAACCAGTTTTATTTTCATACTTGAATGTCTGTATACAGTATCAAAAGTTTTTAACCACTGATATATTATGGTGGAGAGGTCTTGCTCGATTATTGGAAATTAAAGGATTCATAAGGGATGGAGATAACAAGGTATACTTAATTGCTTTACTTAGAAGTAACCTATCCTTATAGCTTTTATATATGATAGTGGAAATGAGGTCGTGTCATTATATATTTTATTTAAATAAAAAATAAAAAAAATGATAAGTAAACAGAAGTTAAGATACAAAAAGTGATCATTTATGGTTGAAAAGACAAAATAGTCTAATCAAAATGTTTACATGAAAGATGCCTTTATTAATGGTACTGATAAAAAAAGAACTTTATATATTTATAATTATCAAATTGCGCTCATAAATTTCATGGTGTAAATTGCCGGATTTGTTACCTCTAAAAATCAACAAATGATGCATACAATTGAGTAGTGATCTTACGAGAAGGTGATTTTAAATACAAAAATGCTAATATCATATTTCTAGACACTACCCAACACAATTCCTATTATTATGAGATCCATATATATTTAACTCATTAATAGAAAGTGTTAAAAGAGTGTGTTGCTCTCATTGTACTAAAACATAATGATCTAAAACACATCACATGAAAAACTCTTTTTAAGGCTTTTCGAATTTAAGCATTGGTCCGAATGATATTTTCTGCATTCAGCATGAACGTGGTAATGTGCCACACTGGCACTGCCATGCACTTGAATATATTCTCCCAAGTCCTAAACTCCAAGCAAAAGTATAGTGTCATTGGTAATTCTGTGTGATTTGATTTCAAGTTTTCTCCATACACTGCCATGCACTTGAATACATTCTCCCAAGTTCTAAACTCCAAGCAAAAGTATAGTGTCATTGGTAATTCTGTGTGATTTGATTTCAAGTTTTCTCCATACAATTGCAGATCCATGTTCAGGTAAAATACCCGGAGCCAACAAAATTGGGGATGGAATCTGTGAAGTCAATGAGTGAGCAAGATTTCTATGTCTACCCTGAGGCAGATACGTTGCTTACAAAGAAAACTTGCAACCATTTTCCTCATTCTCGGAACGGGGAAAGGGTTGGGCTGATACTGAGATCCGCCGCCAGCGCTTGGAAAAAATGAATCTCAACAAACCCACAAACAAAAGGCAACGAAGGAAAAAAGGTAAGAAATGGCAATCTGATTTGAGGACTTCTCGCGGTAGACTAGCAGCAAAACTCAATTTAAGTGATATTTTATCTAGCTTTAAAAACATACTGTTTACAGTATTTTTACTTTACAGTTTGTCTCAGTACAAATAAGTTTTCAAACATACTTACTCATTGGCACCTGGAAGGGAATTCATTCGTCTGTGATAATCTCAAATTTTTCCATTAGTTGTTAATTATTAAGTGCTTTTCATTTTAAATTTTTTTTCTTCTTGTTTTGTATATATCTTGAAATCAGAAGGTGTGCCTGTAGCTCTATCTCTTCATTTTTTCTTCTTTGGATCATCGGAAAGTTGTTATAACAGTTTGAACCTAGATTGCCACCTAAACCCTCAACTACCCATAGTTGTTTTTAAATTTACTGTATGCACTGTTTATGAATATTATTTTCTAATTAGTTATTCTATGGTGTTTTCTCAATGCAGAGGGATCAGTGCAAGAGGAGAGGGGAAAGTCATCCCTTTGAATCTAATGGAAGTAGTGGTAAAACTACTTGTAATTTTATTATAGATCTCAAAACTTTTTTATTTACAATCAGTATATCATATGTATTCTATTTTCTTCATGATTTACGAGTCCAAATGTCCTGCTCTGAAGGTTTGCATGGGCGACTTAGTTTGAAGAAGCCAAAGATATTGACACCATCACTTGAAAATCCTTTGGACAATATTGTGCCAATGACTAATTCTATTCCTTCCCCAGCTGCTTCACAAATGAGTAACATGTCAAATCCTAATAAATTTATTAAGATCATTAGTGGGCGAGACAGGAGTCAGAAAGCTAAAGCACTGAAGGAAAATTTTGATGTGAATTTGGGTGCTCATTGCTTTCAAATTTTCTTTGTGATCTTGCTAATTTTTTGTTTTTGTTTTATTTTTTGCTATTAGATTTCTGCTGGACAGCCTGGTTCTGGAAGTCCTTGGTCACTATTTGAAGATCAGGTTGTTTGGAAGACTTTTCTTTATTCTTTTTGAATAAATATTTTATACTTGAATGTCTATGAATTGTGTAAAAGGCTTACCATTATTGTTCTACCTGTTGCAGGCTCTTGTGGTCCTGGTACATGATATGGGTCCAAACTGGGAGCTTGTAAGTGATGCTATCAATAGTGCTCTCCAAATCAAGGTAATGATGTGCAAATACACATGGTTTTAGAAGAAAGGTGCCATAGTTGCTGGTCCTGTTTTATTATCCTTGTGACTTTCCATTAGAACATTACTGAAAATCATTGATCTTAAAAGATGTTATTATTGACACCCACCAATTGGTACCTCCTGCTTCATAGGATGGCTATCCATTTAGTAATTGGGAGTACTTTGGTGTTCTGCTGACATTTCTCATATCATATCTTTTGAAACTCTGATGCTGTGTTCATTATGATGCTTTAAATGCTAAAATTTCATCTAATTTATAATTTTCTGTTATTTGGGATTTAGTTGGATATTTTCTGATAGCATGACATTTTACTATATTTCCAGTGCGTATTTCGGAAACCAAAAGAATGCAAGGAGCGTCATAAAATTTTAATGGATAGAACTACTGGGGATGGTGCAGATAGTGCTGAAGATTCAGGGTCTTCACAGTCTTATCCTTCTACATTACCTGGAATTCCTAAGGCGCGTTATTTCTTTCATTTTTCATTTAGTATATTTGGATGCATTGGGAAAACGTTATGTTTGACCAATATATTTTGCAACTTTAATTGGGTAAATCTTTCATATCTTTAGCAGGGTAGTGCCAGGCAGTTGTTTCAACGTTTGCAGGGGCCAATGGAGGAGGATACACTGAAGTCTCATTTTGAGAAAATTATAAAGATTGGGCAAAAGCAACATTTCCTTAAGAATCAGGTTTGAATCCAAAGCATTTATATCCGGACACATTCTAAGATGCAGTGACATTTAAAATTGGCAATTATGAATTTGTTAACCATGTATGTTATTTTAATTATTGGACATCTATCTTAGTGATTCATGGTCCAATTCAATTCACAATTTGGAAAATAGGCCTTTTGATTCATGATTTGAATCTCAATTTAGTAACCAATTAAATGATTAGTTGTTATTTGAAAAATTAAACTTAAACGATACATCTTTACTTTTAGTGCTACTTGAATAATGTATGGCGGTTAATCCACTTAAAACAAAGGTAAATCACATGAATAGAATAGCAAAGATATGTTTTTATTCTCCATGCAGCAATTTTTTGTTCAGCTGTTCTCGTGTGGGTTTGAAACTAATCATGATACCCTCCTACGCTGCCTTTGACAATGGGTTGTGAATTCAGTTATACAATTTTGGAATAATTTATTTTACAAAGTTGTAATTTACAATTATTGACATAATATTTTAACAAGGAAAATGACTCTAATTTTTGTTACTTAATGATGGGTTATTTTTGTTTTATTAATGATAAGCTTGAGATTGCATCTCATTTTGTTCTGACTTGAGTGTGAATTCCATGTTATTACTTGTATAAAATATTCACTGTTTTTTTTTTAATTATCAGACTTTGTCGAAAAGATTGCATTGATTATTTTTAATTACTTTTTATTTTTTATTTTTTGAAACTTGAACCTAAGACATATTTTAAGGAATTTAAGTCTGGTATCATTTACCTGTATAAAAAGGTCGTGTCACTTAGATTAGTAATGTTAGTAAAAGTGATGTTTTAATGAAACCATAATAAATGGTTCGAAACGAAAACAAACAGCAGAAGGAGATGTTACTTTCTTAATTTTATTTTGCTTTTGATTTTTCTTTTTCCCCCATTTCGGAAAGCAAAAGGGGATCTTTCTTTCTTAATTTTAATTTATAGCAAGAAATTCGATGGAGGGCAACAACACATGTTCGGACCAAGTGATTGCAGAAATGATTGAAATGGGTTTTGAGTATTTAAATATTGTTGAAGCCATAGAAGAAGCGTGTCTCTCTGTTCCTAGTGTTGTGGAGCACATCCTCAACACCCCCAAATTGCAAGAACACAACAAGAACCCTCTCAGAAGACAACCTTTGCGCACGTGTCGTCTAGTTCGGCAGTCAAGATATTCGACCATTTCCACTCCAATGATGTCCAAGAACACACGGAGGATTTCCCTGATCCCATTCCATTTGTGCTTTCAGAGCCATTTCAAGTTCAAGATTCGGATGTTGCATCAGATTGGGAGCGGAAAGTTAGCAACTTGATGCAAAAGCATTTTGGTACTTTTGGATTTATATCAAAATATTGACTTTTGGATTTTCACAGGATATTTTCCATACTTATCCTCTTGCTACTTAATGTATATTTTGTGTGTCTATTTCTCTGGGTTAAGTTTCAATATGATAAATTGATTAAAAAAATGCTTTGTTTTGTGGAGTTCCTGGATCTTTAGTTTAAGAGCTCAAGTTTTGTGAAAAGATTACTTTCTTTAGTCTGTAAGAGGAAAGAAAATGAAGTAACTTGTTATTTTTTTCAGGTATGTAATGATTCCTTGGATTGCTCATATGAAGATGATATGTATTCTGGCTCCAAACATAGAGGACTAAGAGAGAGGCCAAACCTTAAGGTGTTAGTTGGAAAAATAAGGCAGCAGGTGAACCTAGTTATAATTGTCATTTCTTATTGTTTGTCAAGTTGGATATTCTATCTTGTTGCCAATCTACGTAACCAGTTTTATTTTCATACTTGAATGTTTGTATACAGTATCAAAAGTTTTTAACCACTGATATATTATGGTGGAGAGGTCTTGCTCGATTATTGGAAATTAAAGGATTCATAAGGGAAGGAGATGACAAGTATAATTAATTGCTTCACTTAGAAGTAACCTATCCTTATAGCTTTTATATATAATAGTGGAAATGAGGTCGTGTCATTATGTATTTTATTTAAATAAAAATAAAAAAATGATAGAGTAAACGGAAGTTAAGATAAAAAAGGATTTCAGTCATTAGAGATGTCTCTAGTATGTGAATTTGTTTCTCAATGACTTGCTGTTTAATTATGTTTCAGCATCTATTAAGTGAAGTACTAGGAAGCAGAATTTTAAAATTTAGTTGTCGTTTTCTTTTCTGTTTTACTTTCAAACTATTCTGGCATGCTCTGTTGTGGATTTCATCAAACCAAGCTTGATAATTATCCAAGAAATGTTTGCTGCACATTTTCCCCACTCACCATTTGATTGATGTTGTTTGTTAGGTTTTAAATTAATTTATGAGCACACTCTTTTTCCAGCTTCCCAAATTGAATCCAAGAAGGGACCATAAAGGGTTTCTTGATAATACTCTATAGGTATGTTTCTGGAGCCTGAACGAAATGTTGTAGATGTTCCACAGGAGGGGGGGTTTAAAGAGGGCAAAAGTTTTTTATTTTAATTGAGATGGCCAGTTATCAGTTATGGTATGGTATCATTGCACCTTATATTTGTGGTGTGCTATTTAGATAACTACTATATAAATAAATGAAACTTTTTATCTACTTTTGATTGGCTCTCTGAATTTGACGTGTTTGCATACCAAATCTCTCTTCTGCCCATCCCCTATGTTATCTGCCATGATTGTCTCCACTCACTTTCTCCCCACTCACCATGTTTACAGATATGGAATGAATACTTCATGCTGTCAAGCAAAGACACTTCTGTCTTGTATGTGAAGTTCTGTCTCAATGCCTTGCTGTTTGATTATGGTTCAGCATCCATGTAAGTGATAAGATATTCTAAAATAGAATAGCTTGTATTGAGTTACCTACCTTGATTATTGCATTAATATATTTGCTTCATTTTGTATTTAAGGGATTATCTTGTGGCAATGTGAGATTGTTTTTACTAGTAGTGAGTTAATGTGTTTGAGTCATTTATTAATGCATGTTATATTGTCGCTTTCCTTATAAACTCTTTCATGCAAATGCTTGAGTCAGAAAGTTTGTTACAAACAAGGTTTTTTTTATTTTTATTTTTAATATAATTCTCCTTTTCTTGTTTTTATTTGCATTTGTTATGCTCTTTTTAATCTCTAGCTAGTCTCATGGACAGGACTTATGTTTTATTATAAAATAGTTGATACCTTTTTAATTTGTACAAATGGATCCCGAAGCTTTGGTGGGCCCAGACCTACTTTACCCTTGATGTTGTGGTCCTGCAATGTTAGAGAGCTTCCATTGAGATCTTGGAAGAGAACTGAGTGGGAAGATAAAAACCACTGCATCATTGCAGATACACATGATATCTACAAGGTAATCTTTCCTTTAGTTTTAAGCTTTTTGATTGCAATAAAATTTCTATTTTTCTTTCATTCAAAACTTTAAACTTTTATTCTTTTCATATTATTGTTAAATAATATTTATTAAAATTATCTTTACTTAAATTTTTTATTTATTTATTTAAATGTTAGCCCATGCATTAAGTCAAATACATTAAATCAAACTACATCACTAAATAAAAATATCTATCTTCAAATCAAAGGAAAATTACATGTTTCTAATTAGTTTTATCGGTAAGATCTATAAAAAAAATATTTGGATAATTCTTAGAAATGTATGCATGTGTGTCATTAAAGTGAGAGCCATAAAGTTTAACCACTATAGAAAGGTGAGACAAAGAATTGCTTTATGGTATTTTTATGTTACTGTGCTATTCCTTTTTTTGTTCTTCTTTGCAATACGGTATAGCGCGTAGATGTGATGATATTTTGGTTAATGTAGTTAGATAGATGCTAAAACTTGTTTGGTTTGATATAGATATAGATGTATAGATTTGAATTTTAATTTTTAAACTTGAATTAAATTGACATGTTTAACCCAATATCATTGACTAGAATAATTTTTTCTTAAAAAAAAAAACTTATAGAAAGATAATGCCTTTGTTTTAGTTTTCAAAATTATTATAAGTTGACAATATATATAGAGTTTATTATATTTTTTTAATATGTATAATAAACTGGCCCAAAGTAAGTTATTTTTCTTTTATCTAATTTAATTTTTTTAATATAATAAATGTTTTTTTTCTATTTTTCTATATGTTTGTCTAAATTGATTATTTTATAAATAAACAATTATCTGTCTTTTAAGAAATAAATAAATAATAATTTTATAGTCATTTTTATTTAAAGGTTTAAATAAGGATAGAGAATAATTAAATAAGAGTTTCTGAATTATTAGGATTAGAGGGATTGCAATTACATACATATGATTTGGAGTTTGAACATTAAAGTTGTAATTGGTAAAAAAGTTAGAAAGCTTCGATGAAAACCATGTGTATGAGCTAATTTTATCATTCACTTTAGATGAAAAAAATATTAAAATATTAATTATTTGTTATTCTTTTTTTTTTTTTGGTTCGTCCCTGGAGTATCCACCGACGACAGCAGGGACTAATCTCCTCGCTACGTTGGAGGCACCTCAAAGGGTGGGATAGCTGGCCCCAAAATTTAACAACTATAACTTTATATTATCATAATTTTTTAAATCAAATTCTTTATTATTTTATTTAATGATATCAGTAAAGGGGTGTATGAAAAGAAATGGAAAGAAAAAAAATAGAATAAGAATATTTCTAGATTATATTTTCAGTAAAAAATAGTTATATATTAATGATTTTAAAAGCTATTTATAACTAAATGAGAATAATTATATTAATCAAGTTTAGGAAGTTTTTTTTCTTTAATCAAAGTATTCTGTAAGAGTTTCTTTTTATCACTTATTTTTTATTTATCATTCTTATTTGTAAAATTTAATTTTATTATATATTTAAATAGTTTTCAAAGATTGAAAGAGTTGTAGATAACAATGTCAATTATTTATAATAAATTAAAAATATAATTTATATATAAAAGATTTATTAATTATAAATTTGAATTATGTAAAATAAGTATTTATCCCTATGCTACACAATTTAAAATATTAATTATAAATTAACAAGTTTGTTAAATATTAATGTAAACACCTTTGCTTTATTATATATATTATCACCATGGCTAATGTCGGGTTTCACAGTTTTTTTTATCTGTTTCTTTTTTTTTTGCACAGTTATGCTTTTTGATTTTTACAATTTCTGGTTGTTTGTTTTGATTTTTTCCTGCATTTTCTAAATTTTTTATTACTTGAAATTTGTTTTTATAAAAAAAATAAATTGAAAATTTAGCCAATAAAATAAATTAACCTTGAATTAAATGATTAATAAAATGAATTAAGATTATATTTTAATAGTTGTAAATATTAACATTTTAAAAAAAATTAGCTCATATACCGAGCATAGCGAATAAAGTTTTTTGGACTGTTTTTTAACTTATGACATAAATGGGCTTTTTGGCCGTGGGCTTCTTTGGTGGCCTATTTTATTTACACATGAGATCAAATATATACATGAATTATGAGTACATGTATACTTATTAAAAATCTTATCTAATTATTAAGTATCTTATATAATAATTGCATGATTATATTTCCTTATTGTATATACTTGTGTGCAACTAGTGATACTAAGCAGGCCTCCAATATACTTTTATATGAAGTTAGGCAAGACTACTTGTATACCTAGTATTCTTTTGATACGAAAGTTGATGCTAAGTCTAGTCCTTCAGGAATCCATACTTAGTTTATACTAATGGTTGTCCTTCAGGAATCCATACTTAGTTTATACTAATGGTTACTCACAAGGAAATGGTGGCTCAGAACAATAATTCTATCTTTGATTTGACCTATCCTCAGATTTTTTCACTTACTCCTTTCTTTTAAATCCTGCATATGGTGTGTAAGTTTATAAAATTTAGAACACATCGTATAACCTTGCATTAGAATATTGAACTCTATTAAGTTAACGTACATAGATTCATTTACTTTTTGGATTCTATGTTGATTGTAGACCAATTAAAAGTTAAAGAGCTCAAGATCTTGTAGCGTGTGGGAGTTGAATACCCAAAGAACTAGTCCAGAAGGTTATATTCCAATGTATTGGAAGTTAGAAGAAGGCTTGTGAAATGCTTACTTGCATGATATGTATGGATAGTTGTATAGCGTTACTAACTCATTGTGTTAGAAAACTGAGTTTTGGCCTATTAAGTTTCTCACGCTCTTTATTTCAATGTTCAAAGAGGTTGAAAGAAGTTAGGGAGGAATTGCATCAGTGACAGTTATAAGTGTATTTTAACGAACCCATTTTTAAAGTTTTTAACTTCCACTGTCAACAACCTTAAGTTTTTCACGCTCTTTATTTCAATGTTCATGCTTTGTTACCCTTGTTTTTCCATTTGTTCATAGTAGATATTTTGATTGAGCTAGTTTGTGGATTGCTTAAACTTGTTTGGTTACATATAGATTTAAATTTTAAATTTTGAGCTTGAATTAAATTGACATGTTTGACCCAATATGATCTTTCACTGGAATAAGTTATTTTTAAAAAAGAAAAATTTATAGGAAAGTTCATGCCTTTTGTTTCAATTTTTAAAATTATTATAAGGCGACAATATAGAGTTTATTATATTCTTTTAATATGTATCATAAATTGACCCAAAATAAATTTTTTCTCTTTATATATTAATTGTCCATTTATTTAATTTAATTTTTTTAATAACATAAATATTTTTCTATATGTTTTTCTAAATTGATTACTTTAAAATATGCAATTTCCTATCTTTTAAGAAATAAATAATAATTTTATAATATTTTATTTATATTGGTCTCGTATGAACTTAAAGTATAAAAAATAAATAATTAAGAGAGCTTCTAAATAGAATCTGTTTAATGGTGAGGGATTGCAAATTTGCAATTATATAAGATCTGGAGTTTGAACTTTAAGATTATTATTGTAATTATTATTGGTAAAAAAAAAATAGCAAACTTTTATGAAAACTACGTGCCTGGGTTAATTTTAACTTAAGTAAAAATTTATTTATTTATATATAAATGCGTCGTGACCGTCTCCTCTCCCTATATAAATGTTGTGTCACTCTCTCCTCTCACTCTATATGCAACTCTCCTCTCTCATTTCCACTCTCGAGAGTCACTCTCTTCTCTTACGCTTCATTAGTTTCCGGTGTCAAGATTCTCTTTTCGAAGAGTCTTTCCCTTCTTTATTGTCGGATTGCGAAAAGCTACCCCTTTTCTTCTGTTTCTGTAGACTCTTTTCTTGTTCTTGTTTGTTCTTCTTTGTCTTTGTTACTTGTCAGAGTTTTTCTTTGATTCTTGTTCTTTTTGTGTGGTGCAGAAACGGTGGACATGAATTTTACCGTACCTCGCTGGTGACCTTCTTTGAAAGGTAGAAATTAAAGTGATGTTATGCACCGCATCTTCTCTGATTCTTGTTTCATTTGTTTCTGATTCTCGTTTCATTTGTTTCTGATTCTTTTTTTTTTGTCTTTGTTGCTGGAAAGGGTTTTTCTTTTTGTGCGGTGCAAAGACCGGTGGATATGGATATTACAGTTTCTCAATCTGGTGACGTTGTGTAGATGGAAGGTAGAAAGTAAAGTGATGTTACGAACTGTTTGTGCTTCTTTACTTTTCAAATCAATTTCTTGTTTCATTTCTTTTTAATTCTTGATTGTCTTTGTTGCTTGTTAGGGTTTTTCTCTTTGTTCCTCACTCCGGTGACCATGTGCCGATGGAAGGTAAAAATTAAAATCATGTAATGGTGATGTTATTGGTGAGTGTGCGTGGAGTGGTGGATTGATGAAATGTCCTTATTTTAGCTGATTTTTTTTTTTGGATTTTTACAAACGTGAATTGTGATTTGTGATTGTGTTTGTGATGAAGGATATTGATTTGTTTTTAATTCCTAAAAAATAAGTAAGTGACGCTGAAATTTGTTTTGGATAGTTTTAACTCTCTTCGTGCTCTTGTAGTTAAAAAAAATTGAATTACAAGATGACAACTAAAGGCCTTTTCTCCTTATTTTTAATAAGATATGTGGTACATATATGTATTTTCATTGTTTTATAGAACTAGAAAATAATGAGTGATTAGATTTGTCTTGAGCGAGCTAATCAAAGATTTCCAACTATTTGAACTTGACTTTTATCTTCCTTATTATAAAATGATGATGTCTATGAGGGAATTGTACCGTACCATGCTTCTATTTAATATTTTTATATTTAAGTGAAACAATTTCTTTAAGTTCAGTTTTCATTCCCTTTGTAAGAAGGATAATGCTCAAGCTTGTGTACTTTTCACATATTTGACCTGATCAGAATTCTTTAAACTTTGCAGCTTCCAATCCACCTTGAAGCAACTCTTTGAGGAATTTGAAAGTGGTGATGATTCTTCATTGCTAGGATCTGTAACAGTGCACATAATGGAAGCTTGAAAACAAATTTAGAAGGAAGATCAAAGCGGTATAAAGACCTTGCATTGACATATCTTTTTCTCATGAACAATGTTCATTATATTGTCAGATTAGTTTGGAGGTATGTTGTCAACATTTTTGATTATAAGTTTCTTTAAATCCCAATTTTATTGCATGTTTTGGTGGTTTAAAGTCTTTTTTCGTCTGAACTCTCTTCTATTCTAGGTCTGAAGACAATGATTTGCTAGGTATGACTGGGTACAATGACATCGGAGGATTGTTCAGCAGCATTCAAATCAATACAAAAGAAATACTTGGGCAAAAGTCTTGTTCTAGTGACCTTACTGATTATTACATGTCTTGCAGCTTTCTTATATGTCACTTGGATAATGATAACATATATTTAGTCCCTCTAAAATTATCGAAATTTGCTTTTAATCTTGATTTTTTTTTTGTTCTATTCCAGTCCCCAAATTTAAAAATTTATCACTTTTAGTCCTCCAAGTACTTTGGTAGTGCTTAAAAATTGTTTTAAGATGCTATTTAAGCTACTTTTAAGATAAAAAAAACTGCATTTCCAAATTTGTGGGACTAAAATAGGACAAAATTTTAGAAGTACTAAAACCGAACTAGAAATGTTTTCGAATGAACAGGAACAAAAACATATTTTACCCTTTTTATTTTTTGATAATAAAGGTGTTCTAGTAGATTGTTTTTTTCCTGATGTTTGGTTTCATGGGAATGCTCTATTTCTTCTTAACATTAATATTTGTTAAAGCTGTGTATTTTTTTAATTCTTATTCTTTTCTCGGCAGATTCTTCAGTTGCTTATCTATTCAGGGCCTTAGGTCATCAGGTGGTGGGAGTGGTACTGGTGGGAGTGGTACTGGAACTGGAAGCAGTAGTGGTGCTTCATTAAGGACAGGTAGCCTTTCAGTTGCTTCTTTATGAGTAATGTCTTTACTTGTTTTGACACGTCTATATGTATTGTGTATGAAATAATGCAAGAGCTTCATTCAGAGGTATGGCTTCTGAAATGCAAAATCAGGAATCTTGATGCTATCTCTTTTGTGTATTGGTTTCGTAAATCTTAGATGTCAATTTGTAAAGTTTTATTTTATGTTCAGTGGTCATGACTTTTCTAATTTATCACATAAAAGTTTTAGTGCCTATACATGTCATTGACTTTTCATTTGCATTACTAATTTATTTGTAGTTTCCTTTTCAGTTGTCTATGACATGAGACTACTAGTAGTAAAAGGCCTTTAGTTTAATTATTATTCTTTTAAGAAAGAATGCTCTATCGTAAAATCATGAAATTTGTCTCGATCACCGAACTCCAATTCTTTGGTCTTGTACTCTGGCTTATGTTTTAACATTATTATGGTTGTCTTTGATAAATTGTGACTACCATGAAAGGGAACTACACTCTTGATATTTCTTGATGCTATCTCTTTTGTGTATTGGTTTCGTAAATCTTAGAGGTCAAGTTGTAAAGTTTTATTTTATGTTTAGTGGTCATGACTTTTCTAATTTATCACATAAAAGTTTTAGTGCCTATACATGTCAGTGACTTTTCACTTGCATTTCTAATTTATTTGTAGTCACCACTCTAGATGTTATATAGTTGACTATCCTATACATATTAGGTTTGGGTAGTTGTTTTGTTTCGTTCATAAAACAAGAACAAGGCATTTTGCAGTAGTGTTATAATCTTGCAATAAACAATTTCCTTAAATTTTGGAGATTGGAACTCTTCTTAAAGGCAAAGCTTGCTCTGGAATAAAAGAAGCTGCAACTAGTTTGACAAAACATCTTGCACAAAGAACCCAGGAGACCTTTGAAGAATTTGAAGTGGCAATCCAGAAAGATGCTAGAAAGACTGCAGTTATAGATGGAACTGTCCATCCTTTGACACGCTCTGTGATTAACTATGTGAGGTTTTTTTTTAGTAAGTTTGGTGTTTGAGTAAATTGAGTGTTGTCTGATCCCAATTTCGTAGCCATATCTTCTAACATTTTTTTCCGTGTTCATTGATGAGATGACAAATTTGTTGGTCATTATTTATTATCATTCCTTACATGTTAAGATTTTTAAAATTTATTTTACAGTTCTGATTTATTCTGCTCATGGACATTTTAGTGCATTTCTTTGTTAGATATGCTGAGAGATTGACATGCCATGTTACATGTTTGGTCACTTAGTTTCTAGGTGTTTCTTTTGTAGTTTTATTGAAAGGATATCTTATTGATAGAATTTGTTCAGAATCTAAAGGAAAGAATTAATTTTTATTGATGAATCTGAAATACCAAATGTTGTGCCATTGTGGTAGCAGCTTTAGGATATAGGGTAGAACTAGAAAATAACGAGTGATTAGATCTGCCTTGAGCTAATCAAATATTTCCAACTGTTTGAACTTGAGTTTTATTTTCCTTATTATAAAATGATGATGTCTATGAGGGAATTGTGGAATCACATTCTTCTATTTTATTTATTTATATTTAAGAGAAACTGTTTCTTAAAGTTCAGTTTTCATTCCCTTTGTAAGAAGGATAATGCTGCTGTACTCTTCTCTAATGTGTGTGGGTAATTTTTTTCAGGATCTTTATCGTAGATCTGATCACATATTTGACCTGATCAAAATTCTTTAAACTTTTCAGCTATCAATCCACCTTGAAGCAACTTTTTCTGGATTTTGAAAGTGGTGATGATTCTTCACAGCTAGCATATGTAACTGCGAATAATGCAAGCTTTGCAAACCAATTTAGATGGAAAATCAGAGCACAGTATAAAGACCCTGCATTAACACATTGTTTTCTCATGAACAATATTCATTATATTGTAAGATGGGTTTGGAGGTATGTATTTGACATATTTTGGTTATGAGTTTCTTTAAATCACAATTCTTTTGCATGTTTTGGTGGTTGAAAGTCTTTTTTCCTCTTAACCCTCTTCTGTTCTAGGTCTGAGGCCAAGGATTTGCTAGGGGATGACTGAAGCCAAGGTCTGAAGCCAACAACATAGGAGGATTGTTCAGCAGCATGCAAATCAATAAAAAAGTAATGCTTGGGCAAAGGTCTTGTTCTAGTGACCTTGCTGACCATTACATGTCTTGCAGCTTTCTTAGATGTCACTTGGATAATGGTAAAATATGTTTAGCCCCTCTAAAATTATCAAAATATATTTTGGTTATGAATTTCTTTAAATCACAATTTTTTTACATGTTTTGGTGGTTGAAAGTCTTTTTTCCTCTTAACCCTCTTCTGTTCTTGGTCTGAGGCCAAGGATTTGCTAGGGGATAACTGAAGCCAAGGTCTGAAGCCAACGACATAGGAGGGTTGTTCAGCAGCTTGCAAATCAATGAAAAAGAAATGCTTGGGCAAAGGTCTTGTTCTAGTGCTTGTCTTACATTTTTCTTAGATGTCACGTGGATAATAGTAAAATATGTTTAGCCCCCTCTAAAATGATCAAAATTTGCTTTTAGTATCTTTAATTATTTTTTCGTCCTATTTCAATCCCCCAAATTTAGCATTCCAAATTTTCAGGTACTAAAATAAGATAATTTTAGAAGGACTAAAATTGAACTAGAAATTTTTTTGAGGGAATAGGAACAAAAACTTATTTTAGCCTTTTGGTTTTGATAATGAAGGTGTTCTAGTAGATTGATTTGTTTTTTCCTGATGTTTGGTTTCATGCAAATGCTCTATTTCTTCTTAACATTAATATTTGTTAAAGTCGTCTATGTTTTTAATTTTGATTCTTTTCTCGGCAAATTCATCAGTGCTTATCTATTCAGGGCCTTTGCCCATCAAGTGGCAGGAGTGATACTGATTGCGGCGATGGTGGAACTGGAAGCAGTAGTGGTGCTTCATTTAGGACTGGTAGCCTTTCAGTTGCTTCTTTATGAGTAATTTCTTTACTTGTTTTGACATGTCTACATGTATTATGTTATTAGGTTTAAGAAATTGAATGTTATGTTTGAGGAAATCCATTAGAGATAATCTCAGTGGACAGTTCCTGACATCGATCTGCAAGAGTCTCTCATGCCTGTGGTTGCTGAAGTCTTGTTGGTAGCCTATAGATCGTTTGTCAATCATTTTGGGTGGGTTCTCATTTTAATTTATGTCATTCCTATTTTGTATGTAGGGGAATACTTGTATCCATGGATATGAAATGATGTCTTTTCCCCTTTGAAAGAAAAATACATTTACTTATGTTTGCTTTTGATGCCTTGTGGTTTTTGTATGATTTATTAGTACCTTGCAACAAGTGCATATTTGGGAACCTACTGTGTCGCCAGCCTCTAGTGGAGACTGGTAAGAATCCTCAGAAATACATCAAATACATACCAGAAGATCTTTAGATCAAATGTTGGGTGAATTTTTTGAAGGAAAACAGATGAGTGAAACAAAGCGGTAAAATAATTGTTGATAACTTAAGATAGGTCTATTTTAAATTTAGCATGATGGTATTTGGCGGTTATTGGTTAATGCCTTTATTTTGGATTGGTTTCTTTTCTCACTCTCACTTGTTCTAATTCACCAGGTTGTATTTGGTAGCTGAGAAGGAGTTATAGTTTGTTTTTTGTGTGATAAGATGGTGAATGGTTTTGTATAGTTCGCTTGATTTGCTGCCTGAGTTGTTAGGGTGTGTTTGGAAACTCGTTTACAGAGGTTTTGCATTTTTTAATGTATAAAGGTTAAAACTATGCTAGTGTTGGATTTACGTTGAATGTGAATTAAATTAAATGGAATTGATATAGTCTACAAGGAAAATTTATTTCTGCCACAGGTACAATTTTGTAATTATATGACTGAAATGTATTCTGGCATCAAATTTCATTTAGGATTTTTTTAATTTACATTTCTGGAAGCCGCAGCCATATAAGAGTGTAAACTTGTCAAATTGTCAATACTTGTGCCAAAATGATTCGTTGACGAAGCTAGCCAAAGTTTTGCTCGGTCTTAATGTTTATCAATTTATATTTATATCTATAATACTATTAATAAAAGGAATTTCTTAATTGATATTCTTTTTTATCTTTTTCATTTTATCCTTAATAATTATACATAATTTCTAATAACTATACAAATTATGTGAATGAATTTTTTTAATTTTCTTTTATAATGGCAGCATGTAGTGTCTTATTTATTTATTTTTACTTTTTCAATAGGCACTATTAAAGAGATTACCCTTTTTTGTTGTCTATACTAAAAGTGTTTTGATGTGTTTTTTTTTCTTTTCACTAGTAATAGTTAATAAGAATTAGTAAATTGTATCCGAACATTTATATGCATTTATTTATAATTTGAATTGATATTTTTATTTTGGGTATAAATATCATATTTTTCACTACATATGCGATATTAATGAGTGACAGTTTTCCTCTGGATGTTTAATATAGCATACTCATAACAGGTTGAAATTTGAAAAGTTAGTTGGTATTTATTTTTTTAATTCTTACAAATGTGAATTGTGGTTTGTGATTGTGTCCGATGAGAGGTATTTATTTATTTTTAATTGCTAAAGAATAAGGAAGTAATGTCATGATATGTTATGGATAGCTCTCTTAACTCTCTTTGTGTTCTTGCATGTTGCGTTTTAAGTGTCGAGACTCGGGTTGGGGTGGCATGTGATCTTGCATGTTAAGTAGCTCATAATTGTTTTCTGTCATGTGGGTGGACTTGATTGATGAAGCTAGTGAGTAATTTGATTTTAAACTTTTAAGAGTATTTATCTACTTTGCGTGGACTTGTTGGATTGGCAAAGTGGGTAATTATTTTTGCAAGATTTTTTCATTAGATTGAATGTTGAGCTGTTTAATTGGTGAAATAGCTAGTTAGAGTTTCAAGATTCTTTCATTCTTTATATGTGTGGACCTGAAGATTTTTTGAGAATGTTGTGATGTATTTCTTTTGTACACTACATTGACAATTTACTGATAATGGAATCAGAATTCCTGAATAAAAGTTCTGTTATGTATGTCTACATTCAGGCAACAAATTATAATTTGTAGAGACTTAGAGACTTTAGTGGTTTTTATTTTCTATTATTTTCTATTAAAATAGCTCTATAGTTTTGTTTTTAATTGGTTTCTGTACATGTTATAAGATCATATTATAGTTCAGAGATCTAAATTCTGATTGGATATAAATTGAGTTTGTTCTGTTCAAGAGTTGGAATAATATCCCATCGCTTATTACAAACTACATTTTGTACTTGGGCACTGCATGTTTATGTATATTTAGTTCTTATGCTATTAATCACATTTACAAATTTCCAACCTTGCATATATCAGCCTTGAGGTGTCCAGTTAGGTTGAGGTTTGTGTTAACATCCCACATGGGTTAGGCATATAATGAAGGTAAAATGGTCTTTGTGAAAAGTTAGAAGATAAAATGAAGGTACATTGTTTTTTATGGTAAACTGCCAACAGTGATGTTACATATTTTATGCTTGTATTTTTGTACATGTGTGTTGTTTAGGAGAGTTTTGTATATGGATTTTCTTTTGCATTAGGGTACTGAAGGCACCATACAACAGTTGTTTGAAGGTCACCATATGAACTATATCGAATGCATCAAATTTTACCAAATTTTATGAACAAAACATTTAATAGTGTTAAACTACTAACACTTGAATGTTAAGATGGTTTTGGAAAAGTGTTTCTCACACTTTCTTCATTACTGATTGAGTATATAAAAACATACAACATAGGCTGAAAAAGGCTAAGAGCCTAGGACTGCTGAGAGCCTAGGACTGCTGATCAGACATACAAAAGAAAATAATATCAAATACAAAAGCTTCCCTAATAAGCTATTCTAACACTTACAATCACAATAAATTATTCAACAAAACAAGTCTTGTACGTTTTCTCTTTTTCCATTGAACAAATTTAAAGTTTCTTCTATAGCGCTAGCTTTTTCCTTGATCACCGCCTCAAGCCCTTCTTTTTTTTCTATTTATATTTGTTTCATGTGTGTTTGCTTTCACATCATTCGTTTAGGTTTTATACTATTAAGAGTCTCTCTATTTCTTCAACAGAAACTGCACGCATGAATGTCTCCTCCTCCGATAAATGTCATCATTCTACTTTTCCTTCTGTCTTGTCTCTACAATTTAGATTTTGCTTTGCAATTTCTTGTTTCATTTCTTTTTATTATTGTTTCATTTTTTGTTTATTTTCTTGTTTGTTTTGGTTATTCACCAAGGTTTTTCTTTATATGTTTTGATGTTCATTTTGTGTGGTGCAGCAACCACTGGAAATGGATGTTACAGTTCCTCGCTCTGGTGACCTTGTGTCGATAAGAGGTAGATATTAAATGATGGGTTGTTAATGGTGATGTAATCGGTTAGTGTGTGGAGTGATGTAAACAAATGTCTTTGTTTTAATTGATTTTTCTTTTTTTAATTTTACAAGTGATAATTGTGATTTGCCACTATGTTTGGCATGAGTGGTATTTACAAATTTATTTTATTTGCTAAAGATTTAGGAAGCAATGACATAATATGATATGAATAGTTCTGTTATATCAATGCTGGCCATGTACTTCTTTTATTTAGTTGTATTCTTCTAGCTGTATTATATCATATTCGTGTTCCTATTGGTATCAGTACTACCAAAAAACTAGCACATTCATAGGATTTCTTGTGCACAGAACCCAATAAATTAGTAAAGCATCATGTATCAGGTAAAACATTTTCCCCCATTTTACTCAAATATATGAAGTGTCCATTTTAATGCACCACAAACACCAGGCATAGGCCAACTAAAAAATGTTAAACAGCCTATCATAACATATATTCAAACAAATCATACTCATAATAGCTGAAATGTTAAAAAATAGTATAGTAATTACAATGTCTTGCCTTGCAAGGAGTTTTAGTGAGCACTGCGTCTGTCAATCTTCTATGCTTCCTAGGTGGAGGTAAAAGTTGATCCTCAAGATGTGGACACATCCTTCCTTGATTTCTTACCCATGTATCATTACAGCCTTCTTTGATGGATTCTATATTTAATTCCAAGTCATCTTCCCCGCCTACTTTTTTCTAGAAAACTAAAACAAAATGAATAGTTTATTCATCTTTTATAATAAAAAAATTTAAATTAGTAGAGGAATAAAATAAATGGTTTTTTATTAGTCAATTACTGTCCCAGACTATGACCCATAAATATAAATAAAAAGATCAGGATTGCACATTGCATAATTGAAGAAATAACTTAATACAACATTCTCACATTGAATATTTAAGATTCTCATAAGCCTCTAACCCAATACTATGCAAGTGTTAACCTGTGGTCTATTCCAAATACTATGTAAGTGTTATCCTGTGATCTATTCCAAATACTATGTAAGTGTTATCCTGTGGTCTATTCCCCTCTCGAGTTTAATGATTACATGATGATATCGTTAGGTCTATTAAGTTGTATTTATCTTTTCAAATAAATTCCTTTGGGCATGAGAAATTTTCAATAAGTTACATATATAATGTTATTTGTTTTTATAATTTGTATATTCACACACACAAATACATATATATATATATATATATAATTATCATTTTCCTTAATATAAACAATCAGATTTATTTAAATTATAATCTGCTCACTATTGCTGTAAAAAAAAAGAATCTCATTTACTAATCATTAATTACTAATAGTAACATTACCAACACACTACTCTCTTCGGTTGCACACATAGAGTAAGAGTATTTTCTGGTAAATATAGATTTTAACACCTAAAGACTTGTTTTGTTGGGCTGATTGTTGTCAGAGATTTAGTAACTCATAAGCAGATTTGGCTGAAGATGGCTATTATCTTTTGGCAGAAAGGCTACGGAATGAGGATGAGAAGTTTGTTGATCAATATTAATATTAATATGAGTGACAGTTTTTCTCTGGATATTTAATATACCATACTCATAAAAGGTTGAAAAATTAGTTGAATTTTCTTTTTTTAAGTTTTTACAATTGTGAATTGTGGTTTGCGATTGTGCATGTGATTGGAGGTATTTATTTATTTTTAATTGCTAGAGAGTGAGCAAGCAATGTCAAAATAGCAAGCAATGTCAAAATATGTTATGGATAGCTCTTTTAACTCTCTCTCTTTGTGTGCTTAGATATTGTATTTCAAGTGTCGGGACTTGGGTTGGGGTGGGGTGTGATCTTGCATGTTGTTAAGTAGCTCAAGAATTGTTTTTTGTCATGTCATGTGTGGACTTGATTGAATAGGCAACAAGTAATTTGATTTTAAACTTTCAAGATTCTTTCTGCTACTTCGTGCGTGAATGTGTTTAATTGGTAGAGTGGGTAATTCTTTTTTCAATATTTTTTCTTTAGATTATTGTTGACCTGTTTAATTTGTCAAGTGGCTTGTTAGAGAATATTGTTATGTTTCTTTTGTACACTATATTGACAATGTACTGAATTTTAATGGATATAGAGCTCCTGAATACCAGTTCTGTTCTGTATGTCTACATTTAGGCAACAAAGTATAATTTGTAGATGGTTTTAGTGTTTCCTTTTTTTTTCATCTGTTATTTAAATAGCTCTATAGTTTTGTTTTTAAATTGATTTTCTCTACAAGTTTTAAGTTGAAATTATAGTTCAGAGATATAAATTCTGACAGGATAAAAATTGAGTTTGTTCTGCCCAAGTGTATGTATATGCAGTTCTTATACTATTAATCACATTTACAAATTTCCAATCTTGCTAACTTCAGCCTTGAGGTGTCTAGTCAGATTGAGGTTTGCGTGTTGAGATCCCAGATCGGTTAGGCATATAATGGTTACAATGGACTTTTTAATGACTTGTGCCATCCTCTTCCCTTGAGGCAAGCTTTCAGAGTTGAGATGAACCGAATCTGTTCTTCAATTATAATGGTTTCCCATTAGTTATTGCCTTACTGGTATTCTGCTTGATTGTAGTTTAGCTGTTTGATGGCAGGTTGAATGGTTGGTTTTATTTTTGCCTCCATAAAATTTCTCTTTTTTAAAGGAATATCTATTCCTTATTTGTGTTGTATTTCTTCTCTTTTCTTTTATTGTAAAAGTGTTCATTGAGATACATATTGCAGAATCACAGCATCAGTTTGATGCTCGTGAGTTAGGGTTTCACTAATTTCATGTCTCTTGCTGACTTATATGATCCTGTTAGAGGTTTTTGGGTGAATGATAGATATATAGTTGAGGTTGAGGTTGCTGTATGTAACCCTCTTGATGATTGGTCACATTTCTCAAAAAAAAAAGAAACTGATATTGTTGGACTGAAGAGCCAAGGAGTTATTACATGAATTCTCTTATTCATACATCATCATAATCCTTATTTTAGAATACAACTTTTTAACAAAATTGTTATAAAATCATTATAATATAACTACTGTTTTTTTAAATGCATATTGTATAATTAATGTTGGCTTTTTTTCTCTGTTTATAATTGATATTAGGTAAACTAGATAAGACTAGGCATAAATGTTTTTTATTTTAAAATTTTAATTTAAGGCAGAGGCAAGCTTATTTATAATCTCACTCACTCCAATCTTATATATATTTTTTTGAGCTTTATTTGTCTGCCTCACTGAGTGCCTGTCTCCTCCTCACTGCTGTTCAAATTCACTTGCTTTTTTCCTTTTCTTTTCTTTGTAATCTGAAATTTCTTTATTTCTCCACACCCAATGCCTCATATGTCTGTTGTGTTTCTTTTCTTTTCTTTTGTCTCTTCAATTCAAGGACGATTGTGGAATGCTTTTGCTTCTCTGATTTTGAATTGAACTTGATTCTTTTTTCAATATCTCTGATTCTACTTTTCTTTTGTTTGGAGTGCAATGAGACTGGACTCCTTTGCGGTCCTTATTGCTGTCTGTCTGTGTTCTAGTTCTTTCTTGAATTTGTAAAATCTTGGTTGCCCTTATATTATGAGTAGTTTGATCGACATAGGATGAATATTAGAGTATAAATCTTTTAAGGTTGTTCCCAATCTTCATATCATATCTTCTATAACGTTTAAAGTGTAGGTCAATGTACAAGATGAGTTTTGACACAGAAATATGTTATTTTCGAAGCTTAATGATCTTAAGACAGTTCTTTCCTATATAACTTTTAAAGTGTGGGTGAAAGTGTGAGATGAGTTTTGAAAAATAAGTTATGTTTTGAAGCTTAATGACCCTAAATGAATTGAGATGTTTGAGATGTCATGAATCAACTTTTCTGGAATGGTATGTTCTAGTTGTCCCTTAATTCGAAATGAGAGGAATTTTTATTCATCAACAAAAAAAAAAAATGGTATTTATAGTTTTGACCCAAGGCCTAATGTCCAAAAAAATTGTTGCTTTAATGATGTTTGTGGTCAAGCAATGTTAGAGAGTTTTCATTGAGGTCTTTGAAGAGAATTGCGAGATTACACCATTGTAGATATGGATGATATTTACAAGGTAAGCTTTCTTTTAATTTTAAGCTTTTTGATTCTAATAAAAATTTCTATTTTTCTTTCCTTTATAACTTTAAACTTTTACTCTTACTCTTTTCATATTATTATTAAATAATAATGATGAAAAATATCTTTATTTAAATATTTTTTTAATTTAAATATTAGTGGATATATCAAATCAAACTACATCACTAAATAAAAATATCTATCTTCAAATCACATCATGGAAAATTACATGTTTCTAATTATTTTTTATTTGCAAGATCTACGAAAAGATTATTTTGATAATTCTTAGAAATGTATTCATGTGTGTAATTAACCTAGCATGAGACAAAGAATTAGTTTATATTTTTTTATATTTTATTGTGCTATTCCTTTTTTTTTTTCTTATTTGTAATAGAGTATAGCATGTAGATATTTTGGTTGAGCTAGTTAGTGGGTCGTTTAAATTTGTTTAGTTACATATATATTTAGATTTTAAATTTTGAACTTGAATTAAATTGGCATGTTTAACCCAATATAATCATTCACTGGAATAAATTATTTTTTAAAAAGAAAAACTTATAGAAAAGATCATGCCTTTTTTGTTTTTGTTTTCAAAATTATTATAAGCAATATAGAGTTTATTATATTCTTTTAATATGTATCATAAGTTGTTGGTCCAAAATAATTTTTTTCTCTCTATATATATTAATGATCCATTTATTTTTATTTAATTTTTTTTATTAATAAAATGAATATTTTTCTATATGTTTGTCTAAGTTGATTATTTTAAAAATATGCAATTTTCAATCTTTTAAGAAATAAATAATAATTTTATAATCATTTTTTTAAAAGTTTAAATAAATTATTCTTGTATTAACTTGTAACATAAAGAATAATTAAATAAGAGAGTTTCTAAATTATTAGGGTCTATTTATTGGTGAGGGATTACAATTACATATGTAAGATATGGAGTTTGAACTTTAAAATTATTATTGTATTTTTTATTGGTAAAAAAAATTAGAAAACTTTTATGAAAACTAAGTGCATGGGTTACTTTTAACTTTAGAAAAACTCAATTTATTTTAGGGGTGGGTATATGGACTCGAGTCCGCGGACCGGTCCGTAAGTCCGCGGACTTCACGGATAACGGACTCAATTTTTTTAATCCGTATAATCATATGGACTTTTTAGGTCCGGCCCGTTAAGTCCGCGGATTTTGCGGATTTAATCCGCGAGCCCGCGGATTACCCGTTTAAATGTGGAACTTTAAATTTGTTTGGTTGTGTATTAAGACTTTTAAAGTTTTAAGGTAGTAAGGCTTTAATATTTGGTTAATAGTTGGTATGCTTGGACTTTAAATTTTAAAGGCATTGAGACTTAAATATTTCTATTAGAAATTTAGAATGTATAAACTTTGTTATTTAAGACTTTGGTTTATTATTTATATAATGTTTGATGTTACTATTAGAAGTATATTTATATCATTTTATATGTATTTTTTTTCCTCATGTTTTCATAGGTTAAATAAAGAAAAAGAAATTCAAAATCTCATTAAATGTGTCAATATTCATTAAAAAAATTTAGATTTAATTGGGCCCGCGGACTTATCCGTTTATCCGCGGGTTTCACGGGCCGGATACGGACTTGAAAATTTAAGTCCATTTATTTCGCGGACCGGATTTATCCGGCCCGTTAAAAATGCGGATTTCGCGGACCGGGCCTTAAACGGGCCGGACCGGTCCGCATACCCACCCCTAATTTATTTTATACAATTATACTTCGCAGCTTTATTCTTTAGAAAAAATATTAAAATATTAATTATTGATTATTCATTTAACAATTATAACTTTATATTAATTTAGTTTTTGAAATTAAATTCCTTATTATTTTTTTTTTAAAATGAAACCACTAAACGGATGTATGAAAAGAAATGGAAAGAAAAAAAAAGTAGAATAAGATAATTTTTAGATTATATTTTCTGTAAAATATAATTATATATTAAATATTTTAAAAACTATTTATATATAAATTAGATAATTATATTAAACGAGTTTAGGAAGTCTTTTTTTAATGAAAATGTTCTTTAAGAGTTTCTTTAATCACTTATTTTTATTTATTTATTTATCAATTCTTATTTGTTAAATTTAATTTTAATACATATTTAAAAAAATTTCAATGATTAAAAGAGTTTTGTATAACAATATAAATTATTTATAATAAATTTAAAATATAATTTTTATAGTAAAATATTTATATTTATATTAAAATAAACAAAATTGTAACAGTAAAAAGAATTTAATATTTAAAACTTAAAGGGACGAGTTTTTTTAACAAAATATTTAATAGTGTTAACTTACGTATAAATGTGAGAAATTGATCGACAAAATATTTATTCCTCACTCGCTGTCTCTAGCACCCCCTCCCCCTTCTCTCTCTCTCTCTAAATTTATAACTATTGTGTTTCAGTCATCATTCGTTTGGGTTCTTCTCCCTTCGAAGTTGAAATGGCTGCAGAGACGATACAATGAACAAAGAAGTCAAAGAACACGGACAAGTGTACCTATTCGTTTGTACCTCTTCCATCTCTTTCTCTTCTTTACCTTGTGATTACTTTTCCTTCTTTGATCTTGCTTTTCTCTTCTTTACCTTGTGATTGCTTTTCCTTTGATTTTGAATTGAAGTCGATTCTTGTTTCTGTTTTCTGATTTTTTTTCTCTTCTGTTTGGAGTGCTATGAGAGACTGGATCCTTCGCTGTCCTTATTGCTGTTTTTCCTCTTTCTGGGTCTTGGTTCTTTCTTGAACTTGCGTTTTCTTGTTTTCAAAACCGGTGTTTTTCTTTTTTTATTGATTTTGATAGCATGCAAGAACAAGAATGATGACCAGAGGATACTAATCCGCTGTATGCAAATTTCAATGATCATGTTTCCGTTGTATTTCATGTGTTGGGACTTGGGGTTCCTGTCACGTGGTAAGTGAGTAATTTGAAATTAAATTAAATTTGCAAAGTTTATGCTAGTATTAGAAGTTACTTAATTATAAGAGTACTGATGACATTTTTGTTTTTTTTAGGTTTAATTTAATGTGTACTACTTTTTTTACAAAATGACCGGAGTGCTCTTTTCTGGGGATGATCTTTGACCTTGAGGTGAATTACTTTCTACACATATGTATGACTAACTACTTGCCCCTTTCCGTTATTTTCCGACTCTAGGCTCTGAGATTTGGTCTAAACTAATCAAAGTTCTTCAACATTCTTGAACAATTCAATGTTGCATCCCTTCTTGATTTAAATTGAAAAGCTCTTCATTTTCTAAAGTTGTAATTTTTTACCCATCGAAACTCAAGAATACCATTCTTGTTGAAAGTCTTGAATGTGTATTTTATTTTATTTATTTTTTTTTTTCCGGTTCGTTGTTTTTATCCATATTTCTAAAATACATTATTTCTAGCCTTTGATGTATTTGGTACATTCTATTTTCAACCTTTTTGTATATTTCCTATGATTTTGTTCATATAAATGTTTTTATTCCAATTTCTTTGATTTCTTATATATATATATATATATTATATTTTATATTTATATATAATGATGATGATTTTATATTATGTTTCGTGAATTTATTATATGTGGGTATAACTGTAACAGCATACTTACATTTGATGTTAACAAGGGGAAAAGAGAGGGATAAAGTGTCAATAATTTAAATTCGTTTTAAAGTTGATTATCATTTCAAATTGGTTTTAAAATTGATTATAGTTTTCATTTTTCAACTAGTTTATGATTTGAAACATATATTAAAACTAGACTGATTTTAAAATTGTTTTTGAACCGTAAATTGATTTTTAAGCCAAATTGGCTTCACAAGAATTTAAACCATCAATTAATTTTAAACAGATTTAAAAATAATAAACAAGTCTGCATTTAAGATAAATTTGAATATCATTTATTTTGTTAAAATTAGTTTAAAAAACTGATTTATGATTTTAACCTAACTTTGAAACCCAACCATATTTCTAATCATAAACTGGTTTTAAATCCAATTTTAAACTTGATTTCGAAAATCCAAACAAATCATTTTCTTGATTAGAATGAACAATGTTGCAATTGCTCAATTAGCCTGATGGTTTCAGTAGTGATGACAGAATTAAGGCTTTCTTTATTTGTTATTGTCTATATGTTTTTTCTTGATTGATGTGATATAAATAAGCTTCAAAAAATTTCGCTGTGTGTGGTACTAAAGCATAATAATTTATATTCTCAAGTCTCATGTTTAGGGGCCGGTCCCGTAATTTTACTTTTTTATTTTTATGACATTTTATTTTAACACATTTCTTTTGCAACATGTTAACATTTTTTTTATGAATGTGTTTTTTATTCTTTTTTTTTCCTGGTTGTTTATTTTTAACCATAGTTATAAAATACATTATATGTAGCCTAGCCTCTGATGTATTTGGTACATCTTTTTTAAATCTTTTTGTTTATTTTTTGTTATTTTCATTGTTGAAGTTGTTTTTTTGTAGAGAAGTCGTGTGTAATGAGGCTTTTATCTTATTTGTGTGTTTCCCCCTCCCCTTTATTTCAATGAGATGCAAGCATCTGACTTTGTTTTTTTTTGTAGAGAAGTCGTGTGTATTGAAACTTTTATATTCTTGTGTGTTTCTGCCTCTGCTTTATTTCAATAAGATGCAAGAATCTGACAATCCAGGTGTCTCTATATCAATATGGTACAAGACTTCCTAAGGTTTTGTTCATATAAATGTTTTTATTCCAATTTCTGTCATTTCTTATGTTTATATATATGTATATATAATATATATATTTTATAATTATATATAATGATAATGATTTTATATTATGTTTTGTGAATTTATTATCTGCGTATATAACCATTGCAGCATACTTACATTTGATGTCAACAAGATAAAAAAAGGGAGAAAGTGTCGATATGTTAAATACGTATTAAAGTTGATTGTCGTTTCTAACTGGTTTTTAAAACTATTATAATTAAAATTTAGTCTTAAAGTTGATTATAGTTTTCAACTAGTTTATGATTTGAAATATATATTAAAACTAGATTGATTTTAAAATTGATTTTAAAGCCAAATTGGTTTCATAAGAGTTTTAAACATATTTAAAAATAAAAAAAAAGTCTGCATGTAAGATAAATTATAATATTATTTATTTTGTTAAAATTAGTTTAAAAAACTGTTTTATGATTTTAAACTAGCTTTGAACCAAACGGGTTTCTAATCATAAACTGGTTTTAAAACTAATTTTAAACCTGATTTTGAAAATCCAAACAAATTATTTTCCTGATTTGAGTCTTCAAAATTTATCTGCTGACATATTTTTTGTACAAAACATTTATTGACTTCTCTCACTTTGGTATTCTAGATCTATTCAAGGAAGGATGAATGTTCACTCTGAAAACAATAAATTAAAACATCAATATTAGATTTAAGTAAATAATGTTAAGCAATCACATATGGTTTATGAAAATTAACTCCTTATGTATAAATAATCTTAAACATGACCTTTGAGATTGTTGCCATCAATAAAAAATTATCATTCATTTTTTATTTTTATTTTTGTTGCAGTGAAGCAGTATGATACTTGTGAAATTGTCGCGGTGAAGATGGCAAGACTTCGTGTATTGCAATTTGTTAAGGATTTTCCTAATTTCCTTTGGTTTAGTGCTGTCTTACAAACAGTCTTTGATTGTGTCTGATTCACGATGCATAAACGAATTTATTTTTACAAGTATTATGCATGAATAATTGTTATTTTGATTGACTTCAACTACTTATTAGGTTTTTAAACTACAGAAATTAAACTGCGCTATTTTATGATGCTTACTCATTGTCTCACATGTTGCGGGAGAGAAGTATGCATGTTGCAATTCTTGCAATTTTTTTTTGTTTGTTGTTATATGTAGGTGGAGGGTCTCAGGAGATCGGTGAATTTTAAGATTTTGGGATAGTTTCAGTTTTGCACTAATTTTAAGATAGTTTTTTTTGCCTTACTTTTTGCACTTGAATTTGATTTCAGCTTTGGAATTTCAATCATGGACACATTTTTGAGGCATGTAAAGACAATCTCAAGAAGCTTCAGCTAAGTTATCTAGATTCACTTTCTTATTGTTAAAAGGCATATTGGTATGTTTGTATTTTATGTGTCCCTTAAATACAATTTTTTGTGCATGTATAGGAACAATTATAATTGCAATTTCTTGAATTTCTTTTCTAAATTTAACATGCCAGTTGCTATAAAAAAATGATTTTTGTGTGACACTACTTTGTTATTAATTTTCGTTTACTTGTGGCAAAATATAATGCAGTTATAATTGGTGTATGTTGTGGATGCCTGGAACAAGGAAAATGTCCACATTGGTCTATGCTTTGGAAGCCTTTAGAGGAACATCCATTTTGCTAACCAACTATACATATTCTCCTTTGGTAATTTAGTTATCAAACTAAAAGCACATATATCCATGTCAACATGTTATAATGTCTTTTTTATGTCATATCATTAAATATTACTCCCCATGTTGCTGGAATATAATGTATGTGCATGTTATTTATTTTAAGTTGTCCTCTATGATCTATTCTCCATTGTCCATGGATCTAAATGAAAACATGTTTGATTGGAAAAATATGGATTATTTACTTAAATTGTTCTTTCCTTGTATTTATGTTTGTATGGGTGCTCTATGTGTCTCTTTCTTTGTGTTTGTCTTTATTTGTTCTATTTTTGGATGTGTTTGTTTTTGTGTTTCTATGTGTGTTTGTTTTTGTATCTCTCACTGGCTATGTGTGGCTATGTGTGGCTATGTTTTGACTTTGTCGGCCTGTGTGCCTTGAGTGTCTCTATGTCTATCATGTGTGTTGATGTTTAGTATGTGTCTTCATGTTTAATGGTTGTCATTGACTTTGATATCTATTATCTGTGTATAAGTGCATTATATGTGGGTGTGCCGCATTGTCAATTATGTATGTATATTAAGAACATTTAATGATTTTCTAGGACTCTAATGTCGCAAATACATGATTCCTATTATAGGATGAAAAAACTATTCTCCTTTGTTTCTTTTTCATTATCTTATGGTTGTAGACTCCAAGATTTGGTCTAAAATGATCAAAGTTGTCACAGATACTTGTTTGTAGTCTTGTTATCAATGTGAGGTTTGATGTATGCATTATGGATGAGCAAGTCTTGTTATCAATGTGAGGTTTGATGTATGCATTATGGATGAGCATGATTAGACAACTCCGCTGGTATGCTTTTTTTTTGTTGTTTATTTTATCGAGCACATGTGATACTTATTTTTAATGCTCATTATTTGCACAATATAAATGTATATGAGAATCTGAGCTGAAAATCTTGCTACATTAATGTCAAAATTCACTCTTTAGTATTTATCTAATCTAGATTATAAATAAACATATAAATTTGTTTGGAATAAATGTCTATTACTAAATTGTATCTTAGAAGGTATATATAGGTCCTCATTATCTAATTTATCAAGATTAAAAACAAAGTAGTGAATTTAGTTGATAAAAATAAATTTATCCCTATATATATTTTTTAAAGTTACTCTTTAGTTACTTAATTAATACTTATATATCTTCTAACCAATTAGAGTCTATGTGTATAATATTTTTCTCTTAATTAATATTGACTTTTTTCTAATCAATTAGAGTTTATTCTCTTTAAAAATTTATAATTAATGTATTAATCTAAAAATAACGAAAGAACAGACAATATGAATTGAGTTCGGACTCATTCTAATTAAGAAATCTCGGCAATGATTTCCTCCTCTTGTGTTGGACAACCTTAAGGATATTTTTATGATATTTTTAAAATAAAACTTTTACATTTTTTCATAAGGTGAGTGTTTTGACAATTCCTTTCTAGTACTTTTTATTATATATTGAAATTTATTGAAAACGAAAAACTTTAAGATGTAAGAGGATTTATGACTTTTGTTAAATTAAACATATTTAGAATTGTATATAAATAATTTAATTGTAATTGAAAACATTATTCTTCTGATAAATAATATAATAGTTTTTTTTTGAATTATTTACAAATTAAAACATATTTAATCATATCATATATTATTAATATTTTTAACACATTAATCATTATATTTTAACACGTTTTTTTATGCTTTTTATTTTCTTAAAATGTTACTATGTTTGTAAATAAATTAAATTTTTTAAAATTTCACTCTTTAGTATTTTTCTAATCTAGATTATAAATAAACACATAAATTTGTTTGGAATAAATGTGTATTACTAAATTGTATCTTAGAAGGTTTATATAGGTTCTCATTATCTAATTCATCAAAGATTAAAAACAGAGTAGTGAATTTAGTTGATAAAATTAAATTTATCCTTTTATATATTTTTAAAATTACTCTTTAGTTACGTAATTAATACTTATATATTACAAAATTAATATGATTTTATGTTGGACATTTAAAGTAACTTTTTGTCTTCTGTCTCATTTAAAAAAAAATTTGTGCAACATTATTTTAAATATATTATTTAAAATTTTACTTTATATCTTTATTTTAATTGTTATTGACTATTACTAAATTAATATGATTTTATGTTGGACATTTAAAATAACTTTGTCTTTTGTCTCATTTGAAAAATTTTTGTGCAACATTGTTTTAAATATAAATAAAAATATTTTTAAAATACCAAAATTATTAGTTTAAATAGAATAAATATATCCACTTTGTAAATATGAATTGTTTTTATATTAATATATTATAATCTTCAAATGGATATACAATAAATACAAAAGAATACTAATAATGCATGAAACTTAATATATAACTTATATTTAATTTATCAAAGATTTTAATCTTCTCAAGTCATCTATTTAGTCAAACTTTTATTATTATTATTATTATATTATATATATATATATATCAATTATGTTACATAATATCATACGTATATTTGCATTTATAATATCTTCATATTCTTTTATTTTTGGTTTTTTTTCCTCATATTGTTATGTATTGTATTTTGTTCATGTAAAATAAAGTAAGTATTCTTCTATTTATAAATTAAAAATAATCTTAAATTTAATTTTATACTATTTTTTTTACTTAAAACATGTTTTTATTTATTTATCTATTTATTTTTGTTTAGTGATAATGTACAAGAAGTAAGAGTAACTTTTTTATCTCTTTTAATTGTTTTTTTTAAGATTTAATTTTTAAAAGCTAACTATTATAAAAGACTATATATTGTATTAACTTATGAATCGAAATTGAGACATAACAAAATCACCCTAATAAAATAAAGTGAAATTTTTTGAATTTGTAATAACAAAATTTTATTTCTAAAGTTTAGAGGATATAAAATTCAATAATAAAATAAGAAATTCAAAATCAAATTAAATTTATATTTTATTTAAAAAATTAAATTATAAGTAGTATCGTAAAAATATCTTATTTTTTCATGTTAATGAACAATAATTAATTTTAAGGAAGTTTGAGAATTAAAATTCAAATAAATAAAGCATTTTTATACTTTTTAAATAAAACTTATTAATAATTTTTTATCAAACAAATCATATTAGAATAAAATTATAACAATAAAAAGAATTTTAATATTTAAAACTTAAAGGGATTGTTTCGTTAAGTTGCAATTTTTTTTACCAGTTTTTTTTTTAAAATATTTAATAATTTTAACTTACTAATAAATGCGAGAAATTGTTCCACAAAACAGGTCTAGGTCTATTTATAGGTTTCTCTCCTCCACTAAATGAATTCACTGTCGATTCCACCGCGCGAGTTTATTCCTCTTTCATGTCTCTAGCCCCTCTCTCTCTCAATTTATAACTATTGTGTGTGACTCTGTTTCAGTTGTCATTCGTTTTGGTTTAAAATTTTAGTTTCATTTCTTGCTAATTGTTGTTGTCTTCGTTACTCACTAGGATTTTTCTTTGATTCTTGTTCAACACTTCTTTCAATCTTGTTTATTTTTTGCTAGGTGTGGCAAACGGTCCATATGGATATTTGAGTTCCTTGCTCTAATGACCTTGTGGCGATGAAAGGTAGAAATTGAAGGTGATGTTATGCTCTGCATCTGCTTCTCTGTTTTTGAATTTCTTGTTTTATTTTTTTTATAATTCTTGTTTGTCTTTGATTCTTGTGCAACACTCTCGTTTGATTCTTGTTCTTTTCTTGTGGTGCAGCAACCGTTGGTTATGAATATTAGGGTTCTTCGCACTGGTGACCCTGTGCGGATGGAAGGTAGAAATTATGTATTGCTTTTGCTTCTCTACTTTTCAATTTCTTGTTTCATTTCTTTCTGATTCTATTTTGCCTTTGTTACTGGTGAGGGTTTTTCTCTTTAATGTTGCTGTCTTAAATCGGACAAAGTGCTTTTCTTAGTTATTTTTTGTTGTTGTGCTGATGGCAGTTTTTGAGGCATTTATTTAAGATATACAAATAGATTGACAACCTTTACTTGATTTTTTCGGGGCTTATGTTTTTTTGGTTGGAGAATATCTTTTTTTTTTTTTTTTTTTT